CGGCTTCGGACACTGACAGCGCGCGGGCGAGACCGCGGAAGCCGCCGCCCCTCCCTCCCCGGCCCAGGGAGGGACGTCTTTAACCCACCGGGCTGGGGAGGGTGCCAAGTGGTGAATGTGGGAGGGAAAAGGGAGGGTGTTGTTGGTGGATTTTTTTGGGGGGGGGGGTGTCAGGAAAATGCCTCTGCTAGGCAGATAGATGCCATATGCGCTGTGTACTCAGGTTTTTTTCTATTTATTGTGGACGGGAAGCTGCCATCTCCGCTCCTCCGACGGGCACCCAGGGATGGTCCTACACCAGGGACCTAAGGAACTCCTGCTCTCTCGCCACAATCCTTTTGTCTCCTCGCTATCTTATTGGCTCCCTCCTCCTCCCCCCATTCTCCCCTCTTTGCATTCGCCTAGTTTCCTCTCCTGGTCGCTTTGTCACTGCCCCATCCCCCATCCTGACCCTGTTTCTCCTTTGCTTATCTCTCCCCTATCTCCATCTTTCACACTCTGCTTCTGTCTCCGTCCCTTGCTCCCTAGCCTCTGTGTCTCCCTGCCTTCTGTCCCTCTCATTCAAAGAGTGCAGTATCCTTTTGCGGGAGATCTGGAAGTCCAGAGGATAAGGAGGAGAGGTACGGAGTTCCCTCCCACCCCATTTCCTCTCACCCAGCTGAAACCTTGGGGGCGGGGTGGAAATTAAGCAAAAAACACCCAAAGAAGGGTTTTTGTTGTTGTTTGCTTTTGAGGGCGGAAATACCAGAAAGGTAGCTTGTTTAATATTTAGGCTTCTTATTTTTGTAAGATATGTAGAATTTGCTGTTTTTCTTTTTATTTTGACAACTCAGGAAGAAATTGCCCTCAGAAGGAATGTTAGGCTTCGGCTACTCTCCTGTGTGTGCCCCACTCCCCCAGGGGAGCAAATTCTCCTGGAAGACTCAGAAAATGAGACTTGTCGGGAAGGAGAGGGAGGGTCCAGAACCATATGCAGACCCCTGCTTTTCCTGGGATAGAAGCGGAATGTATTTGCTGGGCTTCCTCCCCAGCCTGAGGTTGCAGGCAGGGGTGTTGGGGAGTGGGTTAGGGGATTTGAGAGCAGGTAGGTCTTGCTACCTTTCTGCTGTTCTCCCAACAGGGGCCCCTCTCAGCTTAGTATTTTCTATGAAGGGTTAGCCAGACTTGGGATGCCCTTGCCCACTTCGTGCCCCAGACCCAGCAAGTAGCCTGAGAAGCCTCAAATGGGAAGGTGACTTAGGCAGGAAGTCCCCCAGGGAGGTCATCTCACTGGCCATTCCCCAAGCAGAGGTCTCCTGTAACATTGGCAAAGAAGTTTCCCTCTGGAGGGAAGACTGGTTGGGCCCAACACTGACTACACACTTGTACTTCCCTGGCTGTGAAGAGGCTCTGGGCGGGGCGAGCATCGGATGCAGCAGAGGTTCTGTGGAGAAGCGCTCCTGCATTTTCCTAGGGTCCAAAGTCTTGAGGACATGGGAGTGTGAGAGGGGGAAGGAGATGGGCAGGCTGTTTTTCCCTGACATTGGGAATTTGGCCTCAGTCCTACCCACACTGGCCACCAGACGCCCAGGCCTGGCCAGCCTTCTTCTGAGAACCATCATCCTCCCCTCCCCACCAGCCTCCCTCCATGGGGCTTCAGCAGATTGCCCCCTCCCCTTCAGGGAGCCCATTTCACAGCTCTGACCTTTGGTCCAAAGTTGGGGGGAGCGTGCCCTCACCCCTACCTCTTTTCTCTCCCACCGTAGCCTCCCTTCCTGTTCCTTGCCTGCCCTTACAGCTGCTACAGCCTCTGTGCCACCTCCCACTCCCAGGTGGAAGGGTGTCTAGGGGAAACATTTCAGGTGCTAAGGTGCTGAGGGCCTGTGCTGGCAGCGTGAACAGGAAAGCTGCTCCGTATGTGTCCGCTGTTCACCCTTGGTCTCTCTGGCCCCCCTCGGAGCTGGCTGCTCGCGGGACTTCGGTGCCTCAGAAACAGTGGGGTGGGCTGCAGGGTCTTGGCTGTGAAAGGACCTTAGAGGGAGTGAGGAGCGAGGTGGTTCTCTCAGGTGTGTGTATGTGTGTGTGGGGGTGGGGTGGGGAGGGCATCGGGGAAGTGGGGTTGGGATCCCTTCCCTTCAAGAGGCAGGCAGCTCTGGGGGTGGTGGGGGGCTCGCTGATAGTGACCGAGGGCCCCCACCACCTCCTCTACTGGCCTTGGGGAACTTTGCACAAGGAGACATCCCCCAGTCTACTAGCACCTACCTCGTGGGCACTGGGGTGGGTGGGGAAGGGCAGGTCCAGCTCTGGCGATGTTGGGGGGGCATACCAAAGAATCCAGGGGCAGGGGTTGGGGGAGGGCAGACTCGGCAAGCTGGCCCTCTCATTCCTCTACCCAGATTGGGGTTGGGGTCCTCTCCTCCAGCTATAACCATTTCTACCTCATTTTGCTGCGTGTTGTACGTGGACATATTTATCTCCTGTCTGATGATGCTCTGCAGTTACGCTCTGTCTACCTCAGAAGAGACTGTATTTTAAAAGAAAGTATCACACAGTATTAAAGCAACGACATGTGGTTTCCAGAGGATTTTTGGGGGGTAGCAGGACGTGGGGAGCCCACTGGGAAATTCTTGGGCATCCAGGTGCATCGGTGCCATGGGTGTGGCTCTGGGTGTTTCTATCCCTTGAGCAAAATGTTCCTGTGGAACCCCCATTCTTCACTCTGGCACAGGAAGTGCCCACCAGACACCGGGCCCTGAGGCTACCAGGTGAAAACCCACACTCGGGCTCTGACAGGCCCCTGGATGAAAAGCCATCATGAAATTCAGAGCTCTCAGAGGCTCAGAATTGGGGCTGACTCACTGTATCCCCAGAGCTCTGAAGTATGGGATTGGAGGGGTGGGGCGAAGAAAGGCTCGCTCGTGTGTTGAATGAGTGAATGAATGAATAAGTGAATGAATGCAGGAAAGGGGCAAAAGAGGAAGGTTTACCCACCACCTGGACTGCAGCCCTTGATGGCTGCAGTGGTTATACTTGTATTCCATTCTTGGATGGAGGGGAAGTACCCAGAGGGCAGGGCATGGAAATAACCGAGTTCCAGTCTTTAAGGTCACACAGAATCCTTCGTCTGCCACCGTTTGCCAACCCCCAAACTATCTTTGACAACTCATCATAAACTGGGAGACTGATAAAACCAGGACGGAGCATCTTGCTGAAAAAGCTATGTGGAGATACCCAAGAGAGGTCTGGACTCCCAACTTCCTGAGGTCTTTGAAAAATATTCTAAAGTGATTGAAAATGCAGCAGAGTGCAAGGGGATCTGTGCACCCAGGGCTCAGGGCTTAGTGTACACACTGGGCTTTCGGGAGGCAAAGCAGTTTCCCCTCTGAGAGAAACAGCTGAGGGTGTGCTTGGGCATGGGGGCTCCCAGGCATTGTCCCAAGGTTCAGCAACCCCAACTCTCCCAGGTCTTTGAAGTCCAGACCCTCCTCACTGTCTAGTTGGTTTGTTGTATACCTACTGTGTGCAGGCACTGGAACTGAATATAGAAAGGATTAAGCACAGCCACTGTTCTGGAGATGCCACAGGACAGGGTGGGGAAAGCTCAGAAAGGGATCATTTGAAAATAAAGCTGCCTGAGGAGGGGCCACATCAAAATTTTTATTCTCATATGTGGCACATTTGGTACATGGAAGACACTAAATAAGTCCTTGAATTAATTAACTCTCAGATAAAGTGTCTAGATGAAGGATGCACAGTCTGTCTCAAGAACATCCAGAAAAGACACGGACTCACAACGGTGGCCGGGGGGTGTCAGAAAAGCTTCCTGGACAGGAGTGGGTACAGCGGACAGAGCTGTGGAGGCTGGCAACTGCGGCATATGTGTGACTTGGCATAAGAGCATAAAACGAGGGCTGAGGTGGGGGCAAGTGCGGCCGGAGGAATCACTGGGAGAAACGCTGCACCATGAGGAGGAACATCCGTGCCTGTGCAGAGCGGGGAGTGGGGGGCAGGACACGACTGATTTGCAAGTTAAGAATTCACACACTGAGATTCAAGAGATCTTTACTGAAGCCTTTCTCACTAGGTAATATGGGGACAATAGATGGACCCTCCAGCTGTGGCTGGTGTGGCTCAGTGGATTGAGCGTGGGCCTGCGAAGCACAGGGTTCCTGGTTGGATTCCCAGTCAGGGCACATGCTGGGTTGTGGGCCAGGTCCCCAGTAGAGGGTATGCGAGGGGCAGGCACACACTGATGTTTTTCTCCCTGCTTTCTCCTCTCTAAAACAAACAAACAAATAAACAAACATTAAAAGATGGATCCTCCAGTGTGATGAGGGAGGCAGTAAAAAGGCTATGGGAGTAGATAGGACACCGTCAGTCAGGGAGACCTTTCCAGAAGAGACCTGTCCGCTGAGGAGTCCGTGAAGACGGGCTGAGCCAGAACGCCGAGTGCAGGCCAAGAACCGCAAGAGGGCCCGCGCCAAGCGGAAAGGAGCCGCAGTGCGTGGGGCCCCAGCGTGTGGAGGCAGGTGGGAACTGGTTTGCCTTACCCAGACAAGGGAGGACGGGAAATGACGACCTATATATATTTGGTGTCTAGTTGGTAAGAAGAAAACTGAGATGATTAGATATCAGAGATAACGGACAGCTAGTGCTCTAGGGCCGAGGAGAGGAGGGGCAGTGAGTGGTTAGAAGGGATGCAGGAGACTTGCTGAATCTGAGGCGTGTGTGGGACGGCCCGGCCACTAGCCGGCCCCTCCCGGTCTCGGGAAACTCTCCCTAATACCTGGGTTTCATGAGTCCCTTCCTCTTAACTTCTGGGTGTTGGGAGATGATCCTCTAACCAGCCGCGTGCTTTGGAGACCCCTTTCCACGACCCAAGGTACTGGGGATCCCTCGCCCTCGTAGCTGAATGTGGAAGCCCCGCCCGCCCCACCTCCGTGGGCGCCAGCACCCCTCCCCCACCCACGGGCATTCCGAGCAGCCCCTCCCCCCACAGTCGGGTCGGACCACGGCCAGCCATGGCGAGGCGGGCTCCAACTGGGGCCCTTGTCCTGGCCCTGGAGCTCTGGGGCTGGGTGTTGGTTCCAGCGGGGGCCACGGACGCCATGGGTCCTCACACGGCTGTCCGTCTGGCCGAGCTGCTGACCCCGGAGGAGTGCAGCCACTTCCAGTCGCTCCTGAAGGCGCCGGAGCCGGACGTCGAGGCTGAGCTGGCCAGACTGTCTGAGGATCGGTTGGCCCGGGCCGAACCCGAACCGCCAGGGACCAGGTCGGGGTCTCCGGGCCGGCGGCGACGGGAGGCGACGGGCCCAGAGGCTGACCCCAAGGAGGTATCCGACGGCTGCCGGGAGGGGCTGGCGGCTTGGCTGGCAGCCGAAGCCCTGACGCTGCCCTGGGACCGTGTGGCCCGGGCCCTGAGGCGCTGCGGCCGCCCCGACGTGGCCCGGGAGCTGGGCAAGAACCTCCACCAGCAGGCGACGCTGCAGCTGCGCAAGTTTGGGCAGGGCTACCTGCAGCCCGGGGCGCCCCCTGCCCCCGCCCCCGCCCAGCCCCCGGGCCCCGCCCCGGCCGCGCGCTCCCGCCGCGCCTCGGTCCCGGAGCCTAACTGGGACGAACTGGAGCTGGTCTTGGAGCGACTGCCGCAGGCACCGTACGAGCGCAGCCCTCTGGGCTGGGCCGGGCCGCTGGCGCTGGGCCTCTTCACGGGCTTCGTGGGGACACTGGGCGCCGGGGCGCTGTTCATCCTCCTGACACTGTGGATCACGGGCGGCGATGGTGACAGGGTGCGGCCCGGCAGCCTGGGCCCGCCCGCCCCTGCCAGGCTCAGGCCCCACGAGGCGCACAGCTGGTGGGAGGCGAAGCCGCTCGTGAGTGAAGAGCAGCTCCTATTGCAGGGGGCCTGGGCCCACTCGGTCCGAGCTACAGGTGGGCCAGATCCTCCCTCACCCCAGTGCCCCCGGCTGTAAAGCGGGGCACAGTCCTGGTGGAGTGCTGCCTTTGATGTATAATAAAAGTCACGAAACTTGCCAAGCATGGAGCAATCGGTTTGTTAGTTCGTTGAAAATGACGGGCGTGGCCAAGAGTGTTGCTGTCCCCAGAAGAGGGAGGGCTCAGGTGCCCGTCTGGGGCGGGGGTAGCAGGCAGGCCCTCCCCCCAGTTATTGTCAGCATTAGTTTATTTCAAAATTATTCTCTACCAGGAGCTACCATTTATTGAGCACTAACTGTGTGCCAGGCCCTACCTACGCTAAGCACTTACATACATTATTTGACCTAATTTTTAAAACTCAAGGCATAGTTCGGTTTTTGAACCTAGAGCTGCCTGACCTGCAAGTGTTAGCTCCAGAGGAAATAATCTGCCAGCAGTAAGGGAGCCTGGGAAGCACAGCGGGGACCAGAACAAACTGCGGGACTTCTGTTCACTCTGAGGCCCTGCTGGAGCGTGTAGGGGGTGACACAGCTACAGGTGTGCCCACTTTCCAAGGCTGCTGCCCCCAAGCTTTCCTCCCCACTTGGGCAAGGCCTCCGGGAGGTGCCCCTAGAGCCCCAAACCTTTCCCACCCACTGCTCAGACTGTGTCCCTTGTCACAGGGAAGGCAAGAGGATAGCTGTGGGGTCCAGCTGGGTGGGAATACTTGGCCAAGGGACGCTGGTGTGAGAGCAAGGACAAAATGACAGGCCAGTCCAAGAGGAGAGTTGAAAACAAGATTGACGTAACCCTTTATTGCAAATTCTAAAGTAAAAAGATGTACAGTACAAAGTAAAATTGAAGTTTCAGACTATAAACTTCCAATCCACTTATACATTCTCATTTCTCAAGCATTTCCGCCATTTCCGCATAAACGGAACAGGGAACAAGTCGAGGGGGTGAGGGAAGGAGATACAGCAAGGGAAAAAATTAAGTGTCTAGAATAATCATAAACCCCAGAAGCAAGTGAAAGGAAAGATATTTTCTCGACCTGCTGTCCTGGTGATGAGAAGCGGGGGTGGTTGGAGCAGTGCAGTTTAAAATGGCTCTCAGAATAGCAGCATTTATGGTACCATTTCATCTTCCTTAAGTCCAAATAGTACTTTGCCCTTCCCTAGTGCCTTTGCCTCTGTATCTCAAAACACTTTACAAAACATTTAGTTAAAGCCTCACAACACCCCTGTGAGGTAGGTCAGTATTATTATCCCCATTTTACAGATGGGGAAACTGAGGCACAGAGAGGTTAAGTGACTTGCCCAAGGCCACACAGCGAGCCAGCGGTTGAGCTGGGGATGGAACACAGGAGTTCTGTCCCTTTTCTGGAACCACTGGACCCCGCTCCCCTTTACCTATACACATTCCTCACACACATACAGCACATGTGCACACCCGCCCGCCCCACCCCACTTGGCCTCTATGTACAGCAAACAGCAGTGGGGGACAGGGGCAGAGGGTGCCTCAGGAGCGTTTTAACAGAGGAAATCTTGGTAATCCTAAAAAGGGAATCCAAGAAAGCACAGAGCTGAGTCCCAACCCAGGCTCTGCGCAAACCCTCGGGCCCCTCCCAGCCCAGACTTCCTCTTCTCTCCTCATGTCCCCCTGGCTGGCTAGCTGCAGCCAATTCTTTGGGGGGTGGGGGTACCTGAAAATGAACGAAGCTTTTTGCAAAACTTTGGGCAACATCTGAGAAAAGAAAGGGGCATCGTTACAAAAGATGCCCTGGACTCAAGTCACAAAGTCATAACCCATGGCGATCTCACCTCCACAGTAGGCCTGGAGGCTGGGGGCCGGGGCAGGACGGGCACTGACCTACCAGCCATCTCTCTCCAGAGTGGAGCTACTGGAGTGGACTAGAGTGGGCACTTCAGAATCCTCCTGAGAGTGTTCCCGGACCGGGAGACATGGCCTAGAGAGGGATGTCCCCAAAGCAGGGCAGGGAGAGGGAAGGGGAGGGGTGCCCCTCACCCCTGCACAACTGTGAATGAGACCAGCCCTAGTCTGCTGGTTTATCTGTGGGGTGATGGAGGGCAAGGCCCAGCATTAGCTAGCAGAGTGGAGGCTGTTGGGCATCGTGCACACCCAAGCTTTGGGGCATTGGGATAGGTTTGTTTGTTTTTTTTTTTCCCCACACACTGGTGAAAAAGGCAGAAGTAAGGCCAGCTCAGCTGGGTTGGCTGACATCATCTCTGGGAGCTTTGCCAGGTGACCTGGTGAGGAAGGGGTTTCCTGGGCCTTTAAGCACTGGCCCAGTAGGGGGAGGAATGCCACATGCAATGGGTGAATGGGGATGGGGGGGGGTCAGGACCTTGCTTTTCTCTCCAATCTCTGCTTCTCAGTCAGAACCTGGCCAGAGACCCTAGGCTCTCTCTCCCATTCCCCTTTTACCACATGTACTAAGGTCCCAATTCCCAGACCCCTCCCAGAACTCAAGAATTGGGATAGATAAGTAACAAACACACACCAAGACAGGCTTCCCTTGTACAGTAAAAAGGGTCATTTTTATTTTGTTTCCTTTTTGGCTTATAGTTGTGATGTGCGCTTTGTCATGTCTCATTTAGAGCAGTGCTGGCCTCCATGCATTCACTAATACACTAATCTTCACTATTGGTCTGTTACAAGTTTACATTGGTTGCGGCGAAAAATAAAACAACTCTGGGCACTGTCGTTCCAGGAGCTTTGACTGGGAGTTTCTCTTTATCTCTCCCAGGTCTGCTTCTGGTGCCAAAAGAGGCTCACTTGGAGAGGAGTGGATGTGGGTCATGCTGACTCAGGAAGTCTTTCCTGCGCTCGCCCGCTGCTTTAAATTGTGGAGCTCCTTATCCTAAGCAACAAGGAGGTTAAGGAAAGAGGGGAAAGTGTTTTTCACACAAACCAGCAACCGTGTCAGCGGCTGCTCAGTGGCTTTGGCTCTGCATTTTAAATTAACAGCATCACATGTGACTTTTTGCTTTTTGTCCTTTTTTTTAAAGGTGGATTGTGGAATATAAATACTGCACCAAGGACCTGGCTACAAAAAATAAATATATTTATATTCTATTTATAGATCTATATATATATATGTGCAGTGATACTGTGGCTGCTGCTGCTGTTTGATTGGCTTCGTTAATATCTGGCAAAGCGTTGCCACCTACCCACTCAGGGAGGACGCAGGGCAGTGTCGTCACGACTCCCTCCGCTGGATGCCTGATGCCTGTTAACTGCGGGTGTGAACTGCTGGTGATGGTGTCATTTACTACCAAAGAAGTGTGGAGCAGGGCGGGTGAGAGTGAGCGCGGGGTGGTGGGGAGGGAGAGGAAGGTGGGAAATGTTAAAAAAAAATAAAAGTGAAACTTCAAATAGAGTAGAGGAGGCTTCTTCCCTGTGAAGCTGGCGGATGGGCATGGGCGTCGGATACCCAGGCCCACGTGTGTGTGTGACTGAGGGGATGGCCTGCTGGGCAGGGATCAGGGTCTGGGGAGGAGAAAGGGCAGATCTCAGAAAAACCTCATCTATAGTAGCTTAATGCCATCACGAGCACGAGCACTTGGGGTACCAAGAGGGATCTTAATAGCTCTGTTGCCCATCTCGAGACCTAAGAACAATTATGAAGTTTAGCCAAATCTTGCATAGAAGTGGTTAGAATTTATTGCACATTGGAACAAAAATATATATATTTGTTGTTGTTTTGGAAAAGACCATTAGCAATAAAAAATTTTTTGTCTGTCTGTCTGGTTTGGGGATGTACATTGGCTGACAGCATCTAAGTTCTAAGAAGAAAGAAAAGTATAAAAAATAAAAATAAACATGACAATGGCAGAAGCCAGAAGCCATTTCCTATTTCATAAGTTAATTTGTATTTACAAAAAGGCATGCCAATAAAATAAAATGATATATTACAGTATTTATAATTCTCTTAAAAAGAATAACCACACGTGTCAGCTTCTGTTTTGTGCTGTTTACGATGTAGCCTGTACAGGTGACTCTACACTCGTCCTAGCAGTTAGCAGCGTCGCTGAGAGAGATGCCTTCCCAACCCGGTGTCGCGTGTAGTGCACAAGTCCTACGGGTGATGCCGCAGAAGCAGGCTTACGATAGCTGGACAGCATCTACTGGTCCAACAAGACAGAAAGCTCTGCTTACTGACTTGCCGTGGTTTGTTCTACACAAAACTAGTCAGGTGGACGGTGAAAATACATCCAAAGTGCTTCTACTGCAAGGCAGATTGGTGTGTCTGATTATGGGTTGTTTTTCCCCCCTCTATTGTATGGTTCAGGAAGAATTTATTTTGATTTGGTTTGCAAGCTAAAAATCTCTCCTCAGTCTTTGTATAGACTTCCTGACACATTCAACTGCAGCATCTTGGCTTTGAAATCTAGTCATGGGATGAGAAACCCCTGGAGTAAAAACTGCCTTCCCTAAAGCAGGAGATGGAATGGAAGATAGGACGCCACCCCCCAAAGCCACCCTTCAATGACCATGGGCAGGTTGCTAAGCAGACAGCAAAACCGGCTGAAAGGAAATGCGCAGGGGGAAGCTGGAACGTTTAAGAATTAATGTTAAATCACTTTCTCATGAGAACCAGTGCAATAAAGAAACCAAGTGGGTTTGGTTCAGAGGCGGCTCCATCTCTACCTCAGGTCCCACCAGTGATGGCTCATTCTGACGATAAATGAAAGAAACCACAGGCCCGGCCCCAGTGCCGCTGCTCTCACCCACAGAGGTGGGTGAGGGCAGCCCTGCTCGGTGGAGATGCGATGGAGGCGAGAGGGGTCATGCAGCGTGGGAGCTTGTGGCAGCCCCTCCGGGGGAGAGAGGCCGCTCACAGTGTCTGAACCCTTCTGCACGTGGACCCGAGCCCAGAGAAAGCCATAATGCAAAGGATGTGATACTAAATGAAATGAGCACCCCTTAACCCCCAACGAAAGGTGGTTTTAAGTTCCCTAAATCACCCCCTGGAGATAACATGCTACTATGAATAGCATTTTTACCTCTACCCCAAATTAGTGTCAGTTCTCCAGTATGAAGGCTAAACAATCATCATAAATATTGCAAAATACAAATGAACTTTTTTTTGATTTTTGTTTTTAGCCCTAGGATTTGGTTTTACAGTGACATTAATACAAGCCATTTGAGATCAAAGTTTCCCCACGTACGGGACACAGAGCAGCATTAAACAGTTCGTCTTTCGAAATGTGCAACAATGGCTGTATGTTAGAGATGTCTGTTAAACATAGACACGCGACGGATCCATCTGCTTGTCGGACTGGGTTCGTGTTTGTTGGTGGTGGTCGGTTGGTTGTGTTTCCCTACCCAGAAGGTGTATGAAAGACTTCTACGAATTCATAAAGAATTGCAGCGGGTGTGGAACTCTTACCATTTTTTCTCCAAATACAGTGAACGGTGCAGGGCTGGGTCCTGTCCCAAGGCTGACCCCAGGGCAGGGGAGAGGATCAGGAGTGTCCTGTGGTGTATGGTTCTCATGCATGACTTCTGATCACGGCATGCCATCATGCAAATCATTTCTATGCATTGAACAAGCACAATGTTTGGAATCGGCCTGAGCAAGTCCTCCTCAGCCTGAAGAAACCTGATTGTTTGCCCCCACCCATCTCCAAACCATGTGAAGCCCATGTGGAGAAGATGCGGTTTATGTCAAAGAAAGTGACAATTAAATGACATGGGCTAAATGTGAGTATGTGTGTGTTTTCTTTTTGCTGCTTAGCTTAACTAATGTACGAATGCAAATATAGTTTGCATGAACAAACAAACTTTTAAAGTGATGCTTTCTGCTTCTGAGAATCAACAAAATGAAAAAAATAAAATCCATTTGGCTGCAACGGAAATATGCTGGTTCCGGCAGCCTCTCCTCTGTTTTTGTATCCTGTTTAGTTTTGTCCTAAGTTGCATTGACTGATGTGGAACATGCAGTAACCACCTGCCCAAGCGTTAGAAAATCTGTGAGTCCGGGGAGCAGGGTCCTTTGCCCTGGGCAGGTCACTGCTCAAGATGCAACTGTGGTACATGGTAAGCAGACTACGTTTGGTATAGATCTTCAGGGTAAAGTGTCTCCACAGCTGTTCTGCATTGATAATATTCAGGAAGTTTGTAAACAATCTTTCACTTGCAAGTTTTAAATCTGTACAATATTTAATTTTTGCTTTCTTCTAACACTTGGATTCTCTGACCTCTTTTTGTCTTTTGGCTCTTTCCCTTCTTCCTTCCTCTGCCCGCTGCTGTTTCTCCTTCTCAGGTTTAGTCACACTGTCATAGGATGGGAGGGAGGCTGTCGACGGGGTGCTCTCCTTTTTCTCCCGGTGTGTGCCTCCATTCTCCAGCTTATTGGAAGCTGTCTTTTTGCAAATGAAGCCCCGTCTCGCTAAATGTCCCCGGTAGGCACGCTGCAGGACCACTGCTGACACCTCTTCCTGCTTGCGCCGCAGCGTGGTTGTGATTGGCTCGTAAGACACTTTGGAAGGATTAGACGCCACGAACCGTTCCTCCATCTGCTGCCGGAGGATGTCCAGCTCCCCACTGTCTCCCAGGACCCGCTTGGTGAAGGCAAAAAGGATGTCCAAGCAGTGGATACGATCCCCGCTGACCATGGGCAGATCCATGGCAATGAGCTCAATGGTGTTGGGCTTGGGCACTCGGAGAGGATGCTCCAAGGCGTCTGCAAAGTCCGCCAGCTTACAGTACTCGATGAATTGGGTGGCATCGGGGTCAAACTTCTCCCAGATCTCATAGAAGGTCTCAAAGTCGTCCTCACTCAGAGGGTCTGCACTCTCCTCTGTGGCTACACTGAAGTTCTCCAAGATGATGGCAATGTACATGTTCACAACAATGAGGAAGGAGATGATGATGTAGCTTACAAAGAAGAAGATGCCCACTGAGGGGTTCCCACAGTCTCCCTTGAAGTTGCTCCCTGGGTGTTCTTTTTCCAGGCTGCAGTCAGGGGGGCGGTTTAGGATGGGCAGCAGCAGGCCATCCCACCCAGCCGAGGTTGTGATCTGAAAGAGGCAGATCATACTGTTGCCAAAGGTCTCAAAGTTGAACATGTCGTCAATGCCAGCCTCGTGCTTCACATATGCAAAATTGGACATGCCAAAGATGGAGAAGATGAACATGACCAGGAAGAGCAGAAGGCCGATGTTGAACAGAGCAGGCAAGGACATCATTAAGGCAAAGAGCAGGGTACGAATCCCTTTGGCACCTTTGATCAGACGCAAGATGCGCCCAATGCGGGCCAATCGGATGACTCGGAATAGGGTTGGGGAAACAAAGTATTTCTCAATTATATCAGCCAGGAACATTCCTAAGAAGAGGAGTAGAAGAAGATATGTTACTGACAGTGGAGATGTCCTTTCTCTGTACTTACGTCACCCGGCATTATGGAATCCTTAAGTTCAAAGGACTTTACAGAATGAGTGCCTTACTGTTCAATCTGAACTCTCATGATAAAAAAAATCACGTTTCAAACATATAAAAAAAGAGGAAACAATAAAACAGACACTTATGTCCATAACGCCCAGATTTAAGAGGTGCCAGCATTCACCAAATTTGCTTTCTCTTCGTCCCCAGCAGCAGCCGCAGTCCTGCAGGTGGGGTGTTGTGGCGTCTCTATGGTTTTGTTATGTGTGAGCCCATGAATAACATACACGTAGCATCTTCCCATGCTTAAGGAGTGAAAATGTATCCATCTTTTTAGGTCAATTTTTTTTTAGATGTCTAACTTGCTTTTGAGACTTAACATTGTGAGATTGGTCTCTGGTGTTAAAATAATTTTAGACTATTCATGATAATGGTTGAATTTCATGAACAGGTAGGTCCTCAATGGTCTGTTTTCCCACTCAAGAATAATTCATTTTTTTCATATTTGTGCATGCATGGCTTCCTGAGGTGTTCGGGCTCCTCTCCAAAACACTCTCCAACCTCCACACCCAAAGACAGTGAATGAGAGGGCCTCACTCCACCCTATGGGCTCACTGCCCTTTGGCTGTGACGTTTTAGCCATTCTGATAATACCACCAATTTTCAAAGTATCTTCTTCCTGGATCTGAACAGACATTTAAAAAAAAAATTTGCCCTGACCCATGTGGCTCAGTGATGGGGCATTATCCTGCAAAGCAAAAGGTCGCTGGTTTGATTCTTGGTCAGGGCACGTGCCTGGGTTGTGGGTTCGCCCCTGGTTGGGGTGCATATGAGAGGTGACCGATCAATGTTTCTTTCTCACATCAATGTTTTTCTCCTTCTCTTCCTCCCCTTCCCCCTCTCTAAAAATAATACATATTTTTTTTAGATTTTATTTATTTATCTTTTAGAGGATAAGGGAAGGAGAGAGGGAGAGAAATATTAATGTATGGTTGCCTCTCATGTGTCCCCTGCTGGGAACTGGCCCACAACCCAAGCATGTGTCCTGACTGGGAATCGAACCATGATCCTTTGGTTTGAAGGCCCGCATTCAATCCACTGAACTACACCAGCCAGGGCCAATAAATAAAATCTTTAAAAAATTTTTTTATTTACTGATTTTTTTTAGAGAGAGGAAGGGGGGAGAGAAAGAAAAAGGGAGAAGGAGGGAGGAGAGAGAGAGAGAGAGAGAGAGAGAGAGAGAGAGAGAGAAAGAAACATTGATTTGTTGTTCCATGAGGGCATTCATGGGCAGGCTGGGGATCACACCTGCAACCCTGGCTTATGGGGACGACGCCCTAACCAGCTGAGTGTCCTGGCCAGGGCTGTAAAGCCTTTTTGGTTTCTCATTGCTCCATGTCACTACCCCACCAAATGAATCTACGACACTAAGGAGACAGCTCATGAGTGGCTTTTAACTCAGAGCTTCTAACTTTTAAAATCTATTATCAGCAGACAGAAATGTCAAGGCATTAGTAGGAAATAAAGGCAGATGGTGAAAATGTACAAATCAGGGGGCTTTTTTTCTGTTCACATTCAGCCAGGGGTCCACCTCTACCAGACCGCTCGCCTTGAAAGGACAGAGCAATAACGGGAAGCCAATGAGGGGCTGCACAAGGGAGAGGAGAGGAAAAGGCTGGGGAATGGCAGCTGCAGGGAAGGCAATGACACGGTCTCTCCCCTCAGGGCCCGGTCCTCCTGGTGAGGCAACATGGGCTTCAACTGACATGAGGGATTTACTTTAAACAAAAAGAAAATCTTTCAATCACAGGGATTCATAAATATTGGCATAATGAACTGCAGAAGGCTACAGAATCCCGTTATTTGAAGGTTCTAAGCTAGGTAAGAGTTCTCTAAGGAAGGGACAAGATGCAGTAAGTTCAAAGTAGACCAGATAACCTCCTGGGGCTTTGTCTGGAGCTACAATCCCACAGGGTGTTCGAGCTTTCAAGAAAGTCTCTACCACGGCCAGGACCCAAGATCACTTCTCAGCTCTTCTTTTCAGTTCTCCATTAAGCCATAACCAATGGCCATAAGAAGTCAGGTGATATATTTCAACATGCAATACTCGCACTCCATGTGTGGTGGGCAGGTAAGGCTTCCGTGAGAAGATGCCCGGGCGAGGGTTTGTAGGGTGAGTGTGCATCTGTCCCCAGAGAAAAGGAGAGAGAGGTGGGGCAGGCTGCAGCCCAGGCCGTAGGAGTACTACCTAAGGGGTCCTTTCTGAGGTTCCAGAGCTAGTTTCACCCCAGGACCCCTTAATTTAAAAAGATAATGTCTATTCTTTTGTTTCTGAACATGTTAATGACATTTAATAAAAGTTCTAATCATCGCCCTGGCCAGTGTGGTTCAGTCAGCCAGAGCACGGCCCTGCACACCGGAGGGGTGTGGGCTCCCTCGTCTGCGTGCGCACGGGAGGCAGACAGTCGACGTTTCTCTCACATCGAAGTTTCTTTCTCTCTCCTCCCCCACCCCCTTCAGCTCTCTGAAGCAATGAAAAAGTGTACCCTCGGGTAAGGGTTAAAGAAAATTGTAATCATCAAAATCTTTATTTGAGAGTACACTCTGAGCACAGGGCCACGGTTTGCTCTTCGGGTTTCCCACCCCACGCAGCGGTAGGTGGGCAGGAAAAGGTCAGGCACGGCGGACGAGGGCAGCACTGCCCGATGTGTGCCTTGTGGGAGGTCAGGCGTGTGGATTTGAGAATGGGGGCTGGGCTGGGCCCCCGCTTGCTCGCTTACTAGTCCCATGTCTTGGGAACTGCTCTGTGCTTCCTGAGACTGACAGGGTTGGGAGGGATATATAATATAAATCAAAACATGTAAGGCACTTAGCATGGTGACAAGTACATGGTGTATTCCATTAAAATGTAAGATATCATTACTATAATCTGGAAAAGGGTGTTGTGATAAAAAAAGGAGGGATGGTGTATTAAACAATTCTTTAAAAAAAGATTTTATTTATTTATTTTTAGAGAGGGGAAGGGAGGGAGAAAAAGAGGGAGAGAAACATCAATGGGTGGTTGCCTTTAGCATGCCCCCTACTGAGGATCTGGCCCGTAACCCAGGCATGTGCCCTGACTGGGAATCAAACTGGTGACCCTCTGGTTTGTAGGCGGGTGCTCAGTCCACTGAGCCGCACAAGCCAGGGCTGTATTAAACACTTCTTTACTGCGGGACTCCCAAGAGCCTTCTCTAGGCTTCTGTGCTCTGTGGCCCTCCCAAGGAAGTTTAACATACAGTGTTGCCCAGAGTAATTTCATCACGGGATTCCTTCCTGGGGGAGAGATAGGTGGGATCAGTGTTCCATGTGTCAACGCACATTTGGACATGCTGCTCCTGAGGACGGAACTAGAAAGCAGCACAGGCCAAGGCGAACGCCAGCTGCCTTCTGTTGCCCACGGCCACCACCTCGCTAACCCGGCCCGGCCACCAGAGCTCTGGAGCTGGTGCCCAGGGGTCTGGCGCACTCTCTCTCTGCTAGCCTAAGGCACCGAACCTGCCGAGGCAGTGCTTCCCCATCCAGGATGCCTTTCGGGAAGGCAGAGAAACCTTCTGGGAGGGCAATCGATACGACAGCCTTTCTTCTGTCTGCCAGGACACCACCCCTCTCATGCCTTTAGGTTGAAGCAAAATGCCGTATGGTTGCGGTTAAAAAACCAGCTTGAGTTCTGCTTTTGCCGTGTCTGAACTGAGCGACCTGAAAGTCTTTAGAGTGAGGATAACAAAAGCCAGCTTCCGGGGCTGCCGTGAGGATCAAACGGGATAGTGCAAGTGAAGAATCTCTTCAACTGTACCTGGCGCACGGAAGAATCTCAGTGAAACGAGCACGGCCACCGTCATCACCACTAGCAATTTCCCGGGCCGTTTCATTAATATTCAGCTTAACCATCTCCTGCCTTTCTTTTTTTCCATTTTACACTGCTATTGTGGCCGTACTTTTAAAAACAGGTGTTTTTTTAAATCCTCACCAGAGGACTTTTTTTTCACTGCCTTTTCTCGTCATTCCCCGCCCCCCTGCCTGCAACCAGAATTTACAGTCCAAGACTAATACCCACACTCAACAGAAAGGCACTGACCGCATACTGTGCCGGGCAGGCCCACGAGATGACACAAGGGCTGGAGCTACGACAGCGACCAGCCTGCACTTCAGACCCGGGACACTCCTGCTCTCCCAGGAATCTTGTCCTCAAGGCCACAAAGGGCCCAACCTTCCTTCCCCGCCAGCCCCACTCACCCACAATGGAGAGGATGACTACCACGAAGTCGAAGATGTTCCAGCCAATGGTGAAGTAGTAGTGCCTCAAGGCAAACATTTTGAGCACACACTCACAAGTGAAGAAGATGACGAAGACCAGGTTAATCCAGTAGAGGATGTTCTCCATCTGCTTGCTCTGGGTATCTGTCTCCACCATCATGGTCACCATGTTAAGGCAGATGAGCATCATGATAACAATGTCAAAGGCTTGTTGAGTGACAAAATCAAAGACGATACCTTGGATTTTGTTCTGGGAGTGGGGAGGGGAGGAGGAAAGATATAAAAGGGTTCATGAAAGCCCTTCGAAGCCGACTGGAAGTTGCCATCCTGTCGGTGACAGTGCTCCACTTTCTTTTCTCTAACACCAGCCAGCTCGACCCTGCCGCTCTGTCAGGACACCAGGGGTGTGGACAGACCCCAGGGTCATCACCACCACACTGAGACTTTTCTAAAATTGCCACTCTTCTCTTATGCGTGTGTACCACCACCACCTCTAGATGTCTCCCCACCTGTCCAGCTGCTCCTTTTTAGTCTCATTTCCAGCCATTTCTTCTGCTACTTCGTCTCTTCTTTCTCGATGCTTTCTCCCTAGGAGAGCTCATATATTCCTACTGCTTATGTAGTATCCACGTACTTTCTCATGGTCCTTCTTCTCAGCCCGTATCTTCCCTCTGAGTCCCTGTGTTGTTTACTTGACATCTTTCCTTGATGACTCATAAGCATCTCAAACTTAACAAGTCCAGAGCAGAATGAAGTCCTTTCCCTGCCCCTCACCCACCTTGTTCCTCCTCATCTCAATTATTCATCCAGTCTCTCCAGCCAGAAACTGGAGGGTCATCCTCATCTCCTTCCTCTCCCTCATCTTCCTGCCTTCCATCTAACCCACTGCAGGTCTTATAGACTCTTTCTCCAAAAATATAAACTGAATTCATCCACGTCATCCCACTTCCATCGGCCCTACTCTAGCCTTAGCCACCACCTTCTTTCACCTGGACTTCCGGAAGAGTCCCTAATCTGCTCCCTCTCTTGCCCTCCTCCAATGCAAGCTCCACACAGCAGCAAGTGTGATTATTTAAAAACATAAATGAATCACACCATTCTTCTACTTACAACCTTTCAATAATTTCTCACTGGGCTTGCAACACCACTCCTGTTCACCTGGTTTGCAAAATGCTTTTCCTGCTCATCCTGTGCACCTTCCTCCGGCTCACGCCACCGGCCACGCCAACACTTCCTGCTTTTAGGGCCTCATTTGCTTTTCTAGGACCTCCTTCCCCCAATTTTGGATGCATCCACTCAAGCAGACCATCCTCAGTGGGGCTTTCTCCTACTATTCCTTGGAAGTAGATCCTCCCACTCTAAGCCTCCATTCTCCCCTGCCACAGCCCTCCAGTTAACTTTTTCTCACAACACTGCACATTTTATAATGGCTGTTTGCTCACTTATTTATCTCTATCCCCACTGTATGTTATAAGCTCCGTGACAGCAGCATCTAAATTTTGTTCATCACTTTATGCGTAGTGCCCGGTACACAGTAGGAGATCTGTAACTACAGTAAGTCCTCAGTGTCAACAGGTTCTGTGACTTGAAGCAAAGTGATGTATAACAAAACCAATTTTTCCATCGGCTAATTGATATAAACAAGAGTTAAGCTTCTATGTATATCATCAATGATATAAAAACCATTATTGAAAAGAATGTCACTGGAGAACCTCCTGTATTTGCTGAATCAGTGCTGATCACTATTAATGTTTCCTACCACACCACGTTGTTACATTTTAGTGTTGAAGAAAATACACTCAGGTTCCCTCGTGCAAAGTACCGAACAGAACTTTAGAAATGGAAATCCTCTTCCATTCCTTTTGGTCCCATTTCTATCCCAGAATGGAAACTAACAACAAGGGAAGGAAAATCATTCGTTTTCTTAAGATTTCCCCAATCTTTAAAAAAGTACCTAAGGCACTTGAGCCGGTGCTTATTTTCAGAATTACTTTAACTTGGCAGTTTTCAAACACCAGGCTCTGCAAAGCCCCCGGGCTTCCCTTGCCTCAGAATTTGGTGAGGGGAGTATGCCAGGTGGGGGGTGAGCAGGGAAAGTCACCCCACACCTGAGTCAAACCCCCACTCTTGATTCAAACAAAGTAGCTCCACTCTTATTTTTACAAAACAGATTGTCAGGAAAGCTTCTATTTTAAGAGTTGTGCTCTTTTTTTTTTTTTAAGTTACTTTAAATGCAAGTTACAGAAGAAGAAACTGAGAGCCCGGTCTGCGGGGGCAGTGTCCACCCGGCTGGCTGCACGGCTTCGGGAGCGTCTCCCCTGAGGCAAGGGGACCGCCAGCAACAGAAGGGCAGAGCAGAGTCCCAGTCCCCAGTTCTGGTTCGCAAAAGGCTCTGTTCCCGGAGGCCATCAGTACTTCAGATGCCCCTAGGTTTACTGTCTTCTGCTCCCACAAATAGCCGGAAGCATTATTTTAGCTTTTAGGCACATCCTTGCAAAGACTGACCTGTTGGTTAGAGAGCTGAAAAAACGATGACCAAACCTATCTCATACTGCCAGGAAAGATCAGCTTTCATTTTCACTTTTCCCTGTGAATGTTTAGCTATCAAAACACCTCTCTGCCAGGGCCACAGCAGGTGTAGTTAAGATGCTGATTCTCTGCTGCTGCCCAAGAAAGGCTCAAAGGCAAGGTCAAGCACAAATATAGAAGTCATCCCATACCTTAATCCCTGTTCTGCTGCTGTTCTCAGCTCTTCTGGATGGGGCGGCTAGCAGAGGATTAGAGGGCACAGGCAGCCCATCACTTACCCCGTTCCTTCCTTTGCAGTAACCCTACCAGTATCTTTGTCCATAAGGGCTCTCTCTCTGCCCTGGGCCTGCACAAATGCACTCACCACGGGGCGGGGAATGGGTTTCTGTGGTTTCTTGGAGCCCAGCTTTTTCATGGCATTGTAGTACTTCTTCTGTTCTTCAGTCATGAAGATGTCCTGACCTCCAAAGTGCAGGGGGGAAAGGAGAACGAGCAGTTACAACGGGCTCTCAGGCGCCGCGGGTCTGGATCCCAGGGCTCGGCACTGAGCCCTGGGGGAGACTCAGCCCCCCTCCTTTCCTGAGGTCACTCTGGTTAGCAGTGGTCCCAGGGCAGGCAGACGTGGGACCACCACTGCAAGTCAAAGAGAAACCTGCCTTGGTTTTCAGCTTGGGCTTTCTGAGATCTGCTAGGAGGAAGGGGATGGACTACCCAACCACAGACTTTCGGGGAAGGGTTAGACCCGGAGGCGAGGGCTTTGAAGACAGTCACATCTCACTGGCTCCTAAACTTTTTTCGGCTTGCTTTCTTGACAAAATTCTAGGAACCCTCCACCCCCATTTTAAAATAAAAGGATTTTCAACTCCTGGATAATGGCCCATTTATTTCTGACATTAAAAATATTAGAAATTCTGGTGTAAGAAAACAATTTGGGGAGTTCCTTGGAGTTTGTTGAGACAGACTTGATTTATAAGATGAGTAATAAGAATAACCTTTTCAATTTGCTTTGTAAAATTGTTAGCTATCTGGGACAAGTATGGAAGTGAACTTCTAAGAATGGTCTCTCATAGATAGTTATAAGTCTAGACAATTTCTGCTGCTCACTACAGCTCTTCCTTTGCTTTCCTCTCCCCTCTGCCACCAGACCCTCTCCTACCCTTCCTCCCTCTGGTAGGAGGCCAAAACCTGTAAAAGGCCTCAAGAATAAGATTGCTAGGAAATGTGGAAAACCATGTACTGTGAAACCCAGCTCTCAACAGAAAGAGTCGGTTGGGGCTAATGTACAGTGGGGCAAGTGCCACAGTGAGGTGATCATATAGATTTTAGAGGAAGAGAGGTGTCACCTCTCTAGAGACAGGAACAGAGACACAGAGAGATATGCCCCTCATCTGGGTTGACCTCTGACCACTGGCAATGAGGGGAGGAGACCTATCTTTTTCTTTTGTTGATTGAAGTTATCAATGATGACACCAATGAACAGGTTCAGGGTGAAGAAGGAGCCGAAGATGATGAAGATGACAAAGTAGATGTACATGTAGATGTTGTCCTCATACTTAGGCTGCTCCTCAGGCTGTCGAAGGGCAGGAGAAAAAGGAAGAGAGTCAGCTCCTAGCTTGGGGATCAGCTGGGCATTTCTGACCTTGCCAAGGCCATCAGCTGGGGTTGGGGACCTTAGATTCTCTCTACCTGTCTCCTGCACACTGGCGGGCCCTGTGCTCAGAAGACGTTATTCCTGCCATGACTTAGGTGGAGAAAATGCAAATCATGAAGTGAGGAGGAGGGGAGGCTGCCAGGAGCCACTCTTATTTCAAAGTCGCATGGAAAAGGAGCCAGCCCCCCTGGTCTAGGCTCAATGCAACAGCCTGATCACCTGCAGCCAGTGTGAGAGCGTGATGGTGTACTGAGAGGAGGAAGTGCCCTACAGTCAACAAAACAAGCGGAAATGTTCCAAGCCTCCCTCTCTTTCCTGATGAGACCCACCATGCTGCTTGCTTTCTAGCCGTCTGAGAAGGTTGTGACTTCATCAGGCATATCCTTACCTTTCTTGAATCTACAGCTGCGTACATGATGTCCATCCAGCCTTTGAAGGTCGCCTGGCAAACAGAGTCAGTCATTAGATGGTGCCTGTTAGGGTATGTGGGAGTCTAAGCAAGGGTCCAAGAAGCCAGGCTTGGGTTCAGTGAGAACACAAGACAGGGAGTTTGGGTGCAACCTCACAGGGACATACAATTTTCTGTTTATTATTACAGGCCCCAAGGGAGCTTTATCTAAGTCCCTGGAAACGACACCAGAGAAACATGCTGGCAGTGGTAATTGGACCAATGCTTTCACAAAAGGTCATTACAACGGGCCTGGGCCTGAGAAGGTTGCCTAAAACTGGGGTGGACACACTGTATTTATGAACGAGTAGCGGGAATCCACTGAGCGTACTTAGAACTTAGAAGAACCACTTTTTAAAAAGGTGTTGGCACTGGGGTCTGGAAAATTCATAGCTGCATTAAAAACAAAGACAAACAAACAAACAGGCAAAAAAGGTCGGAACTTTTCCCTAATGCACACGTTTAGCCTATGGTAGAGGCAATACTGGCTTTAGCCTAGGCAGCCCCTTCCCAATTTTACTCCTTGATCTGGTATATCATGATTTTGAAACAAATCTAGGTAATCAATTAAAATTTCCCACGTTTTATTTACATCCTATTTGTTTTATTTACTCAACCAGATTCTAAGTTTTTTCAGGGCACAGGCAGTTCTTTGTTCATCTGATGGCTCTAGTCGTGCCAAATACAGCACCTTGCACACGGTGGGGGGGTCTGAGTACAAGGTCCGATGTGCTGGTTGATGTGCACTGGTCTCCTGGAGCTGCTCCAATTCAAACTCAATGTGCGTGTTCAATTTCTTGAACTGGGACAGAACAACGAAGTCCTTGGGAGTGAAATGAACCACTGCCCATTCCATCAACTTTGCCTCCTACTACTGGCTAACAGTGAGTGCTTAATATGTAAGGATGAGTTGAGAGTTTCACCTGCATTATCGCATTTAATTCACCCAACAATTATATGATACAGACACACTTATAATAGTAATAAAAACACACAATTGCAAATGCCATTTAAGTACTTGTACATACCAGGCACTGTGCGAAGAAATTTTAGTAAATTATCATGAATCCTTGATACCATGCAAGGCGTTGGGTATCGTGCAAGGCATTGTTACCCACATTTAACAGATGAAGAAACAGACTCAGAGAGGCTGAGTAGTTTGTCTAAGATTACATATCCAATAAATAGGTGTGGCTCAAACCTACATCTGTCTGATTCCAAAGCCTAGGAACCTTTGCTGCATGACAGGGTCTTATAAAACATTCCAAAAAACTGGTGAGAGAGGAAGAGAAAACGAGGTGTAACGGAACGTTACTTAATGAAAATAACCCTTTCTCGCTGTGATACACAGAGACCGTTCTCTGGGGTTGACCCGAGTGCCAGCACCAGAGCTCTGCCAGATGTTTCCCTTTGGCTCCAGTGCAGCTGTGATACAGAATTCTTCTGCTCCACAAAAACTGACGTCACTTTTTTTGGTCTATGTAGTTATCTTCATTTTTTCCTTTTTTCTTTAACTATATACTCTGTCCTGGAGAGAGAAAGTGATCACTCTGCAACTTCATTATGCTGCAGGAACCTTGCTTTGTAGCTCAGCGTCAGAGCAGTGAGGGCTTTCCTTTGAGTGAGATCTTGGAGAAATCAGAGTGCTCAGGGAAGGTGTCTCCCTGGAACCAGTTTGGGAAATGACATGTTTCCGTGTGACCTATTTATTAGCAGTCACCTTGATTCTGGAAGCAGGGTGGAGAAGGGACCAGGTAAGATTTCTGCTACCCACCTGAACTTCATGGGACAAAAGAAATAACCACACTCACCACCTGAAGCAGCGCCAAATATCCTGCCCCAACGTTATCGAAGTTGATCTTCACGTTCTTCCATCTGATTTCTGTATTGTTCCCCTCCATGAGCTTTTCACAATCAGTTTTATTGTTGACAATGTCAATTTCAAATCGCTCTTCAGCAGTCTCATTAAAGCAGTAGTGGTACTTTCCCGCAAATAGGTTAACTCCCATGATGCTGAAAATCAGCCAGAAGATGAGACACACCAGCAGCACATTCATGATGGAGGGGATGGCGCCCACCAAGGCATTCACCACCACCTGCATTGGAAGGGGAGGTTGCTGAGTGTTGGGGGGAAGTGTGGGCTAGCACGCTTTTTTGATTTCCAGGAGGGGAATGACATTGTGGGGCTTGTTCTGACTATAGAAACATCATGTTCCTTTTGAAATTAGGGTAACTGGAGAGATCCAGAAGTACGACCGAAATTTTCTAAATCTATCAAATATATTTTCAGGAATTCTAATAAATTACACATTTATTTAATCTAACAAATCTCTTGCCCAAGTTGACCTAGGTCTTCTCGCCTAGGCAACACTCTGGACCAAAACAATTATTTCAGTCCAATCTCCCTTTCACCAACTCATAAAATGTGCCCCATGGGAAAACCTGAGAGATCTCAGGCTCACCAGCTGCCTTTCCACAGACATTCCCCCTCTGTAAAACAAGGTATGATTGTTCAAAATCACAGAGAATCACCCTTTGTGGTCAGCAGTGAATCAATCAACAGTACATAAAGTCTCTCTTAAGACTATGCAAGGCCAGTTATCTTATTTCAGGCAATAGCTGAGCATGCATATTTTGCAGGCTCAAGAAAGAAAAAGCTATATTCCCTCTACCAAACAGCATGAAATAAAATCTGAACAGATGCGTTTTTCATACATGATTTCTTCTTCTTCTTTAGCCTTTTTTTCCCCCCTTACTTTGTAGGCTTCTAAATATAAGAGTTACCCCTTGCTCGAGTAATCCTGGTATCTCTGTTCAATCCAAATCTTGATTGAACTCTTCACATAGGAATGACAAGTTTTGGGGGGAAAGTTTTGGGGGTAGATCACTGCTCTTAAAAACCAAAATTGGCATATTGTTAAAAAATCACTGACTATAGTAATCTGAGGAATGAAAAAAAAAAAAGCAAAAGGAAAAAAAGCCCCTGAGGAATCAAAGTTTCTGGGTTGTTTTAACTTTGATTTTGCTTCACACTGTAGGTGAGAGGAGCTAGACGACACTTCCCCTGTGGCAGCAGCTTTCACTGAAGGAGTTCAGAGTGCTTATAAAAATAGCATTTTAGGTGGCGAGACAAAGACAAGGCTGGTGTTCACTCCTGCCCTGATTCTTGTTGTTGTTTTAAGTGGGACCGCCAAGGGCCAGGAAGGCGGCCCTAAAATGGGAAGAATGCTTTTTCCTTTCTCTGGTATTCTAGAAGGATTACTGGAGTTGAAACAATGGATATAAATGAAGTCTTCCAACATTTTGTTAGAAGGAGGTGACAAGTATCACCATGTCCCTGCATTTTTTCAGCGCAGGGAAGAGAGGACTGGCTGCCAACCAGCACAGCACCCGAAGGGCCAAAGGATGATGCCGGAGAAGGAACACCAGGGGGCAGCTCTGGGCCCGGATTGGCGCCTGGCGGGTTCAGGATTTCCTTGGGCTGTTTTTGTCTTAGATTGCACTGTCACTCATCACAAAACTTGACTCAGAAGAGCCGTCTGCTGTGTCCTATATAAAGCAGGCAATAATGTTCTGCTTAGGAGTCACTCTTCCTTAGATTAAAATAGTAGTTTTGTGTTTCTCCAATTCATTTGTTTACAAAGGCCTTTAGGCTGAGAGGCAGTTATTTCTTCATTCTTAGACCAAGAAATCTCTTCTAGATCTAATAGCTCTGTCATTAGTATAAAATGAGTATACTTCAACTGCTCACTACTTTGAGCAAAGCAAGCCAGAATATCTGAAATCTGAAAAATCTTCAATGCTATTTTGGAGAATGATGTTCATTTTTATTTACTTGCTACCAAATTTGTCAGGTGATCAGATATGAGTTTTACCTCCTCATTCTGCAGTGGCTCACCCTTTAGTGGGAGCACCGGAAAGCAATGAAATGTGCAAAATAGGCAAGAGAGGGTGACCCACAAAAAGAAATCACTTCTCAAACGGTAAGAGCAGATTATGTAAAGATTCAAAAGCTCAGGCCTATGCGAGTGTTTCACAGCACAGCTTAGGCGGGAGAGCACAACCTTCTGTTAGATCCTCTCGAGCATGCAAGGTGGAAGTAGACCCCGAAAGATCTGAAACCTAGAAGTGTCGTTTTTAAAATCTCAGTTCCGAATGTACCTCCCCTAGGAAGTCTTCTGTCTTAACCCAGTCAGACCTGCCCTACACAGGGTCTCTGTGTGACAGCTCCGTGTAGGGTAGTATTTACAGCAGGAAAGAACAATTAGCTAAGTGACTGAGTGATCTCTTCACACATTTATACTCACAGACTGATCAAAGGACTCCATGTACAGAACTGTTTACTGAGCCTTGTTCTCAGACACGTATAACACAAAACCCTATAAAGTCCGATGCACTTAGAGGATGAAAACACACTTTCTTTTATTAATCAGAACCAAAGAAAAACTTCTCACCTTAGTTTTATGAATAAAACAGTAAACAGAGTTAATGAAATTTACTAATAATTCCTTCTTGCTGTAAACAGCAGCTGCTAAGCTGCAGCACGTCAGACAGAAACTGTTCACCTGTGCTCCATGTATAATTGAGTTGACAGGCTCAGCAAACAAAGGGTGAAAAACCATGCTTCGTTATTCTGAACTCTTACACTACCTACCGCTGTGTTATAAATGCTAATTCAAGTGTCCATGGATAGTCATTTAATAAACTGAATCGCCTCTTCTGCTCTCTAATTAAATTATCACGTTATTCTGTATTACCTTTAATTACGATAAAATTCATTATCTTAAAAAATGAAATATAGAACTACTACTCAAAGCTAGGTTCTAGCAATCTATAAAAAGTTACTCTTTGCAATGAAAGTTTATACTTAGCAATTAATATAAATTTCATTGAATTAGTGAGAAAATGCCAATGAATACTAAATCTTACAGATTTTTGTCTTCTCTATAATGCCTAGAATATTATTGCTCATTAAATACTGTAAAATCTGTCAAGTAGTTTTTAATATCTGGCAGAGGGAACATGGCTTTAATGGACAACTAGGTACTGACAACAAAAACGCATGCATGCTTCATAGCATTACTATTACAGATCCTCAAAAATTTAATAGCACAGCAACATGTGAAATGAAGAGTACTATGGAGGAGAGAAAAGCAAAGAACTACATTAAGCATTCCTTTGCCAATAGCATGAGTGTTTCGATTTTCTGGTCTTTGGTTTGAGGAAGAAGAGAGGAAGAGACTGAAGTCAGTGTCCCAGGACAGGCGAGGGGCATGTGCCCCTCTCCAGTGACGCCCTGAGCCTCTCATCGGAGCAGCACAGTGACAGTTGAGCCCGTCGGCATCGACGGTATTCAGTTCTTGGGGATTTCTTACTTAACATTCCCTACAGGTGATCTCTCAAGCGCTGGCATACACACAAACCCAAACCAAGGAAGTAAAAAACATAGCCCCCATAGAAACGTAATGTTCAAACAGAACGTTTCAAACAGAAAAATGCAGGCAAATTCAATCTTTTTTCTCGCAGTTATTCCTCCACAGTACAGGAGTGGGTCCTTAGCCCTCTCCACCTGCCCAACCAGAAGCAGTCAGCGCTATTGGTTGGAGTCAATCTAATCAGGTGACGCTCCTACATCAGAGCTTCCCTCGCTGACCATTTATTTATTGTCTGAAATCCTGGCTTGGGGTTCACACTGGCTCCTGCCCATATTATCTTACTTGAGAAAAACTTGATATAGAAGTTTCACTTTCCAATGTTTTTCAAATTAAAGTTTCTTCTGTTCTGATCACCCATTCTGGACCTCTGGCCTCTTAAACTATGTGAAAATTGACAAGTGAAAGTTCTGGGGTAGTGGAAACTGAGTCCTGGAAAGGTGAGGAGAGGAGGAGCTAAGAGGAAGAGGGGTGGCCACCCAAAGGGCTCCTGTGTCCGGGTTACTGAAATACTTGCCTCATGGGCAAGCTGGCACCAGCTGGTCCATGGGGACGGTTTCTGCCTTGGGGCAGAACTGGCAGTAATGACATTCAGACTGAGAAAGTTAGTAGCAAGTGTCACTTGATCGTTTTTTCTGAGGCTCCTTCAGGTCTCATTGTAGGAAATCCAGGGTCCTGGCTGGGGAATGTGGAGGGTCACCCGCACCCGGCTTGGGTACAATGTTGCAAATACTGTCTTGAACAGGCTTTTTTAAATCCTCAGTTTTTCATCACCAAAACGAATGACCAACCTTGTAACAAAACTAGTGCTATGTATGTAAAAAAATTTAACTAGCCCCTGCGGACAGAAGAGGGAAGGGGGGCGGGGAAGAGCATTTTAATCCTCTTTCAATGGCTCAAGAGCCACCTAAAAGCTGGAGTGCTGCTCCCTGAAGCTAGCCTGAGCAAAACAATGACCTCCTCACACATTCCGAAATCTCTCTGAACTGTGGGAGAGAGACTAGACTCCCAAGTCTTGTTTTGCTTTTTAAATTACAATAAATTTATGCTGCTGTGTAACTGACCTTCCTGCAGACAGCTTTGGGTGGGTCGCAGAGGGCCTGCATTTAATGAATCAAACTGTGACTGTGCTACAGAAGAAACACAAATTTGTTGCAAAAAGCATTTGTGGGGATCAACTAAAAGAGTAAGATAAAATTCCCAAGTCCCAGTGAAATTTCGTCTTTCTGTACAACTGTGGGTCTCACCACAGACTACGGCCAGGGGTCACAGAGGAGGAATGAATGAAGCCCCGGGGTCTGGTTTCTCCAATTAGTCTTGCTCATGTGGACTACCGCAATGGTGTAATTTTTATTCCTACATTCTGATATTTGCATATTTAAAAACATATCCTCTGGTTTGCTCTCCTGCATGTATTCAACATCTGAATTGAAATGAGTTTTCTTGGTCTCGTTAAGTGTAACAGACCTCTCTGATTACCACAGGACAACTATTACCACCAAAGCCAGCTGCCCACTTGATTTTAGGAAATTGACTTTTTAATGTGTGTGTGCAACACGTACACACCCACACCATTTTTATTTTTTTAAATCAAGAGAGATGGCAAAAAGGCACCAAAAGAGGGAGCCGTATTTCTGGTAGGGTTACACACCTTGCACCTTTTGTATTCGGGTGGAGTGTCACCAGAGCAGGAATAGCAGGTGTCAAGAAATTGCAAGAGAACTAGCTAATATTCATCTAGCATCACACCTGGTTGTTACTTTGGCAATGTTAGGACAGGGGACCACATAGCGTGGGCAGAGGGGTAGGGGTGAGGAGGAAAGCTTTGCTGTCAGACAGTGGCTGCCAGTCCTTATGGGACTGGGCTGAGAACAACAAGGTGCAATAAGAGGAATCAGAATAGAAAGAAAAGCATTTCTTTTCCCAGGGCCATGCCAAATTCTGCTCCATCCCAATCCCAGGCCTGCCGTCGTGTCTTCAAGCCCCTTCTTGGCTGCTTTCTCAGTGACTCCAAGGTCACAGTCCCCACCTGGCTGATGGCCCTACACAGGACTCTCCCTGCCTGCGGCCTCTGCTTTTCAGTGGGTGTCTGGGTTACAATTCCCCTTCTTTGCACCTGGTGATTCTCCCTATTAAGTCAACAGCCCAGAAAGCTGCCCCAAGTGCTACAGGTAAGCCAGGCCAAATGAGAATAGCCAACGTTAACATGTTCTGCGATGGCATGTTGCTGGGGGTGGGGCCGATATTAATGTGATGAGGCAGCTTAAGGCAACTCCCCTCGCACGGGGTGGGTGTGGGAGAGAGTGGAGGATCAAATGGCAGCTGCATCGCAGAGTTTGGGCTTGAATGATCTTTCCACCATGTGATCAGTTCTAGCATGCTTAAACAGTTTCCACTGGCATGCAGAAGGATCAGCGGCTCTTAGTATCTTACCCTCATCCCTTCAAATCGTGATAAGGCTCTTAAGGGTCTCAAAGCTCTTAGGGTCCTAAGGGACTTTATGGCACCTAGTTCCGAGTAGCCCAGGGCATTAGCTATAAGGCTGACTAAAGAGACCTACACGGAAACAGAAGAGAAAAACAAAAACAAAAAAGAAACAAAACAAAACGAAAAGAAAAGAAAACAAAGGTTCCAGAGTGTTAGAACAAAGCCCCTATCCCTGATTATACAGGTTGGGCCCCCCAGGTAGAGGAAGTGGGTAACACCAGCTGCCTACTTCAACTTGGACTCAAACGACCTGGAAGGAAAGGAGGTTGAGAGGCAGAAGAAAAAACACAATGGGAAGAGAAAATTGCGAGAGGGCAGTAGACACACACACGAGTTGGAAAAGGGAAAAGGCTGGAGGGAGTGGGAGAGAATGAGGAAGTTCCATTGGAAGAAGAGGAGCCTGAACAGATGACAAAAACCTTACCCTCGACCTTTACAGTCTCTGCAGGTCCCAGAAGTTCCCATTAAATTAAGCCAGACAAATTTAATGGTACCTATGGAAAAGAATACAGATAAATACACACACTCCACCCCAGCTGCCCCCTCCTCAGCTCATTCACCAGGGGTTTCCAACAGGGACAAGCTCTCTCACTCCTGGGTGACAAGAAGCCACTTGTTTGAGAATTTGATGAGTCACTACATCCACAAAGGACACAGTCAGTAAGTACCATGGCTGACTCTACAGTTCCCACACAGAAAAGAACCACATGAAGAAACGTGACAAATTTTGACTCTATGAGGACTCACTTAAGTAATTCTTCTATTTCTCTCTTTTAACTATAATAATCCCTCCATCTTTCAACTACACCCATGACCCCTTGATGGCCGTGAGAACTTGGGCGGGTCTGGACGACTGCTTCCATGCCTTTCCTTACAATCCTCAGAACAGCCCCAAATCACCTGGCTTCCGGCCTGGTTAGGATCCAGGCTAATCTTCTATTTTCTTCTTATTAAATAACAGCTGGAAAGATTCTTGGAAGAATTAAAAAAAATTTATTTTATAGGTGAGGAAACTGAGACCCATATACAAGCCCATATACCTAACACACAAGAATCTGCCCAGTATCACATCCGTAGGCCCGAAACGAGGATCAGACCCACACTCCCGATTCCCAGGCCAGAGCTCTTTCTTCTACTGACAGATCACCTCTCCCTCACCAGCAGGTTACATTCCAACATCCCAGTAGAGGATTGTAGGTGTCGGAACAAGCCAGACTGGACTATACTGGCATACTCAGGAGAAGTGTGCAGGTCTCTAGGCCTAGAGTCAGGGTCAAATGCTTTCCTGCTCTTCCAGAGCCCTCAGAGCAGTTACCACAAAGATCGCTCAACATTGGGTACTAACCACCTACAACTGCAGCTGTGCCTGACCGGAGACCTGAAAATGCCTTTAGCTGATCAAGTCCTAGAATGGCCGGGCTCTGGGCTTCTCTCCTTGGTTCTGGCCCAGGTTCAGATGTTCCCACCAACAAATCCCTCTACTAGGAGTGGTGGTTACAGATCTGCTCAACATGACTTGATATTTTAAAACAAATTTAGAGAAAAAAAGTAACTCACAACTTAGTTTCATTTGTTGCTTTTCATCTCTAATTCTGTATCTCTGAACTGCATAAAAAATTGTTTTTACATGAAGATATTTATGACTGAGCAGCAGGACTGGTGGCAGGGAGAAGCAGAAAGTCAGTGACCTAGGGAGGGTCAGCAATGAGGGGACTTCAAAGGTTTCAATCTAAAAAGAGGCGTGAACCTTTGTCTATGCATGTATCATAATCCATCAGCACAGGCATCTTCTCTGGAGTCCTAGGCAGTGCCCAAAACAGACATGGAATTAAATGTCACCCTATTAGGCTACTCATATTCTTTAAAGGGTACATGGTTCGGAGTTGAATTTCTGCCTGAAACAAGGGCCTCAGAAGCCTTGTCTAGAATACAGTAGCAGAAGCCAATCATTTTGCTCCCATCTATCATTGCCGCTAAGGCATGGAGGTATCTTTTGCCCACTATTGCCAAATACAGCCAACTCTTAAACACAAATAAGCTAACGTCAGATTTTTTGCAAGATCTCTATAGGTACATCTGAAGGCAAGTTGTCCCATCCCAGTAAAGTCCCTGAGTTCTAAATATCCCTTATTAGCTTTGTCCGGTGAGACTGTGCCAGGGGGACTGCAAAAAACTAAGCTTTCCATGACCGTTGGTCCCTGCGAAGGAAGAAGACCTCCAGCTCTTTTTTGCGGGGAGTGGCGGGGGGTGAGTATGATTTATCTGATGACAAATAGGCCTAAAGTGGGGACAAGGTACAAATGCCAGTCCCAAGGTTGGCTGTAAACGTTGTTGAGTGATAATCTGCGCTTGACTGGTCAATCTGGCCTCGAGCTCCCCAGACAAGGTCCGAGAGGATCCTCTCTAGGTTACCCCTTAGTAGTTGAGGACTTTCTTACAGTCCTCTGAGCCTCCATGCTAAACTCTCACTGGAGATAATCAGAGCATTGCTTAAAGTATACTTTGAGGAGAGATTCAAACCTGAAAAAAAAAGGAGTTGAGAAGTCAAAATCAGGGTATCTATGGCTGAAGGCACGGAAAAAAGTGGGAAGACAGTGGGTGACTTTTTCAAAATGATGTGAACATTTCAAATAGAGACTATTTCAGCAGTCTGAATTCAGGATGAGGTGAGTGGTCTCTGAAAGTTCCCATCCCTGGAAATGGGATGCTGGCTGATGGGGCAGATTCCCTGGAGAAAAGATAACAAAACTCTTTTATAGGACAAGACTTCTAGTGCAGCCAAGGACCTGAGCAAAATAAAACGTTGTCTATATCCGGGAACCTGCATGGCTTATAAATAAAGAGAATTAACCTTATCAATTATCTGGATTGTCCCACGATTCTAAGAAGTACTCATAACACTTTAAAGGGCAATAAGGAAGAACAGAAATTCATTAGGCAAACAAACATGGTGATGAGTAAGAGATTCCAATAGTGCTCACCGGTGGATGAAATGAAAGAGTCTCTCAGAAATGGTGCTAAATTAGGACCTAAAAAATTTACACTGCTCGATAATCTAAAATGCCAAGGGCACTAGACACTTTACCCAAAAGGACAGTGAAAACTCTCCTTTCAGATCCAGTGGTCCAGCTGTCAGTCTACGCCTTACTCTCCCTCCACCCACAATGCAAAAGTGGCAGCCAGGGCAGCCACGGTTCAGGCTGGGACTGCTCCTACTTCGTACATGCTCCTTCTGCTATGGTTACTTGTGTCGGTGTCTCGTCTCTGCAGGCCCTCAGAAGCGCCCACGTCTTCTCCTCTCTGCATCCCCCATGACTCGTGGCAGCAGGCTTTGCATGTTGTGGGTGCTCAATAAACATTTGATGTGTGAAGACCAAATGCCCTGTTCTGAGAGAAGTCAATAGAGGGGAAGGGCCTGGAAGGGTCTCGCTTCCAGAATGCTAGATTACCACGAGCCTGAATCAGGCCACAGAGGCCCTGCAAGGTGGTGCAAGCTCCCCAGCTCCCCTGGGATTCCCTATGGCTCCTGGGACAATTCCACACGGAGAATGCTATTTGTTTACTAATGACTGGTACAGAGGTGTCCATCCTCAGGAGCCAGTGTCAGGCCCCACAGCAATGTAAGAATGCAGCAACTCCCAGAAGCTGGAGGGATTTATGGATTATTGTAAGTTGGCTACATGCCTGTCTCGTGCTTTTTACTCTCCTGCTACCTAGTATAAAAAGTGGTAAAAATGTTTGCTAAATAAATGGTGATGTGCAGAATTGTCAATGCTTTTAGCAGCTTATTTGGGTACCAGAGGGATGCAAGACACCTGATCAATATCCTGGAATTCTGGGGTTGCTCGGTCCAGAGAGAAGACGAAGAGCGGTGGTCCAGGTTAGGGTGAGCAGTGGAGGCAGCAAAAGTCACAGTGGGGAGATTTGCTCCGAATCACAGCTTCCCTAGGGTTGCTGGGAGTGCGGTAGTGGATGTATCTGTCTCAGTTCCTGGACGCCTGGAAGGTGTAGGGCTTTTAGGACTCCCACAGCTGTGCCACCGGACTCTCAGTGGTCCTGAGGAATCACAGTGAAGTGAAGACTCCATGGCTCTTCCCCGTGCTTTAGAAAGAGAGCTGGCCCAGAGTTACCCTAGTTCCCTTGGCCTTATCCCCAGCTCATTTCTTGATTCTTAGAGCTCAGGTTTTCATCTGTGGGAGGCGGAGGCCCTTCTATCACAAGGTGCTATCAGCAGTTGCTGCCGCCGCCGCTGTAGAGAGTGCTGAAACCTCTTGCTAGGAGGGTCTCAGGCTGGCACCACCCATTTGGTTCACTTTAAGGCAAAGGGTGATCTCACCTATTTAGGTATCTCCCTAAAAGCTGGCTTTCTGAAATGGGGAATGCAAATGGGAGCACCGTGACAGCCCTTGGAAGGAGTCGTTAACCATGGAGGGTGCAGACACGATGTAGGGAAAGGTATGCACTTGGAGCAGAGCTCATTGCTGCTGCAGGGGGCGGGGCTCCTCTTATCTGAGGAAGAGGTTTCCGTGCTGCTCTAGTCTAGAACCTGGAAGCATTCTACAGGCAGTTTACCATACGGTCAACAAAACCTAGATTCTGAAAGTACCAACCCAGCCTCCAAATGCTCTACTTTCTCAGCACTTCTCAGCCGTCAGCAGGAACTGACTTCTCCACAGTCCCTGGTCCTGCAAGTCCCATTCACCCTTCTCCCAAATGCTAATTTGCCTGGGGAAGAAAGAGCTTTGGTTATAATCATCATGGTTATGGACGTGAACAGGGAACAAGTGCTGGTGGGGAGAGAAACAGTCACAGATGATGCAGCTGCCATCCTGAAAAATAACGTGGGGTGGCCTTGGAGATGACCCTGGAGGGGAAAAGAACGTTCTTAAGTTTGATTGTCATTGTGGAAATGGCCATGTGTGGGAAGAAGGGGCTTTATTTCCATGTGAGCTCCCCCTCTCCCTGTGAGAGAGGTTCGGATTAGTCTGGTATGAAGACTCGGGTCGGATGGAAGCGTCCAGGGGACAGTGAGCAGGAGAGTCGACCGAGGTCCCCCCTCACCTGCATCCCAGCAGCACCCCTCCCATTCTCTCACCCCCGTCCTGGCAGCAGAAGGAGGACATCCTGCTGTTTAGGGAAAAAAGCCTTCCTGTTTCCAGCCTAAAAACAAGGGTCTTTGACACCAGTGATTTCACTTCCCATCCTTAATCTCTGAAACTTCTAACCCAATACACCAGGGCAAAGAGCTGGTTGGTCAGTCCCCAGAGCAAAAGCAGGGACTTCACTGTCCCCTTCCCAAAGATCTGTCTGCTCTGAGGGCAACTTTATGCAGACCTGCGTCTATCTACATCTTGTCTTCCACCCTGGGCCCCAGGCAACTCGGCCATTGGAAGAAGAACAATCCCTGTTTCTGTTTTTCTGCTGGGAAGGGTGAGATATAAAAAGTAGGACACGTACAGCCACAATGAGGAAGTCCAGCCAGCACCAGGCATTGGTGAAGAACTTGACGAAGCCATAGGCTGTCCACTTGAGCAACATCTCCAGGATGAAGATGTAGGTGAAGACCTTGTCAGCGTACTCCAGGATGGTACGGATGGTCTTCCTCTGCTCAATGTAGATGTCCTCGAAGGCCTGAAAGAGAGGCAGCAGCTGCCTACAGTGCTGAAAGGTCACCAGCAACACTGGAAGGCCGCCCTCCCGGCAGCTCCGCCCACCCGGGGCTGGCCTATCATCGGCCTCCTGTCTCTCTCACTTCACTCCCCAGCCATATGTGGCTTAAAAAAAAACCTCACAGTTTTATTGAGATCTACCATACAATTCAGCTATTTAAAGTGTATAATTCAATAGCTTTTAGCATGTTCATAATTGTGCATTCATCACCACAATCAATTTTAGAATATTTTCCTAACCCCCCAAAAAAGCCCACACCTGCTAGCTGTCACCCTCATCTATCTCCCCCTGGTCCTAGACAACCACTACACTCTACTCTACAAATTCGCCTATTCTGCATTTAACAGAAATGAAATCACATAATTTGTGGTACTTTGTGACTGGCTTCTTTAACTTAGTGTAACGTTTGCAAAGACCCATACTGCAGCACACATCAGTATTTCATTTCCTTTTATGGATGAACAGCACTCCACTGTACGGCTATGCACATTCTGTTTATCTTTCATCAGCTGATGGACGTCTGTGCTGTTTCCACTCTTTGGCTATTGTGAAAAATGCTGCTCTGAACATGTGTACAAGTTTTTATGTGGACATGTTTTATTTTTCCAGGATATAAACCTAGAAGTGGAATCGCTAGATCATATGGTAACTCTCTGTTTAATATTTTGAGGAACTGCCAAACTGTATTCCAAAGTGGTTGTACCATTTTTTAATAGCCCCATCAGAGCTGTGTGAGGGGTTCCAGTTTCTTCACTTCCCTGCCAACACTCTGTGTTTATGAGACAAAATCTCTTCTCCTCTCAGCCCCTGACATCACAGGCACAGGTGGAGGGTCACAGGGCAGGGAGACACTCAGGTGAAAAAATCTTAGTACTACTTTTGTTCTCTGGAGTTCCTGAATGCGGTAATTCCCTGACACAAAGGCGTGAGCATTTCCATGTGCGGACTGCTGGACTGTCTGAGTGCGGTGCTAAGAGGAGAGAATGCCTGCTGGGCGGGGGAATGGAGGTGGGAAAAAAGTCCCTTGTCGCACACCGGGAGGTGCTGGCTCTGAATAGCTCCCGAAGGACAGACCTGGGCTGCCTGCGGACTCATCTTCTGGAGCGGAGGCACATGAACACCAGCTGCTCCAGTTCCGTCACTGGGCAGTGGTCACAGAGGACACGGTTCACAGGCCTCAGGGTCTCGGTACAAATAAATCCCCAGTGAAAACAGCAACAGCTTCCATGTTGTTTCCCCTTGGCTCCATTTGTAGAAATCCATTGTATAACCCAGCATGTGTAAGATACCTAAGACCAATCTTCATGTTGCTGGAGGCTCAAATCCCCTCCCTCTGAGGCCTCATCACAACCACATTCTAGACTTTTCCTGGATACTTTAGCTGTGGCTTCATTTTGCTATTCTTAAGTCCCATGCCTACTATTTCACAGGGTTTCATGTACTGAGCCAAGTATCCCACTGTATACAATTAAGATAAATTAAAAAATGTAAAAGGTGAGTAGTAAACAAAGTTTAAAACATTTATTTCTGGTTTTTCTGTGGAGATGGGAAAGAGAAGAATCAAAGGATGAGGCATGTTCCCTGTTATTTTTGGTTTCTGTTTACTAGATTTGAAGGAAGATGACAGTAATAACACAACCCCTTTCTCCAACCACGGGCGCTAGTGTGATCTTCCTTCCTTTGCCCGGGCGGAGCCCAGGCCGCCTGTTATCCTGTGCCCAGCAGTGCCCTGCAGCGCCCCGGGACGCACTGAGTGAGTGCCTGCTGATGCAGGCAAAGACTCAGGGGCAGGCAGGACAGTGGTGCTCCTTTACTCAGACCAAGGACACCAAGCCATCTTTTCTGGCCTCCTGCGTTTGTGCTGGCACTTTCTGACATAGACCTGGTCCTCGGCATCCGTGGGCTGTCCTTTACCACATATGACTGCCTGTTTCACCCTCTCTCAGTCTCCCACCTCACACGCCAGCAAACTTCTCAAGTCAGTGGCAGGATCTTTAACACTGAATTTGGGGTTTCTCTCTTGTTATCTTTTTTGCTTCCAGATTAAGCTTTGATTCCACACCTACATGAATGTGCCCACATTCTTTAAAAACATTTAAAAATTCTGCATTCACCTTTCTCTTAATTAAAAGAAGAAAACCGTGTGGCGCCTCTAGTCCCTGCTGCCCTCAAATCTACTCAGCTAGGAAAGGAGCTCCCTCATCCCAGACCCTGTCCAGGTCTCCTCAGTTCAATCCAGCTGGAAGTGAAAGCAAGTGCCAAGGTAATGAGTCTCAGCAAGGGAGGAACCTGCGTGTTCAGTGCCTGTAAGCCGCACTGATTAATGAGCACTTACAGCCACAAGAATGTAAGTGACCCGTGTGCCAGGGATCTAACTCTCTAACTATGTGCTAATGCCACAGGTTCTCCAAACCCAGTAGGGTGTGAGGAGAGAGGGGGTGGAGGAACACAAGCCCCCCATACCTTGGGCCACTGAAAAGTATTGGTCCAAACCAAGCAGTGAAGACACTTGGTAACTTGTATTCTCATCCTGATGAAAAGGAGGTCTTAGGGTTGAGAGTAACGTGCTGAGTCTAAAGATCAGCATGTGGGTAAGTGTGGATTCTAATCTCAAAGGCTCAAAACACCAGCCCAAAGCATGTCAGTAGACCATTATCTTTGGGCCCACAGCCAGTCTATGTTCTTAGAGAAATTGGTCTTAGGCCCCATGCAGTCTTTCCCACTAGTTCCTATAAACCCTTCCCCAGCCAATCCCTTGTCATATTCTCCCCTGGACCTCACCAGGGCGCCACTGCTGAGCAGAATCATGAAGATGATGAAGGTCTCAAACCAATTGTGCTCCACAATGAGGAAGCAGGTTTTCCGCAGGATCCACCAAGACTTGCCTAGCCCTTCTTCAATGTTGACCTGGCAGCACTTGAATCGCTGGACACAACCTGGCACCAGCGGGAGAGGCAGGTCAGACCGTGGGTGCATGCCCCACCCAGCCCTGCCCTCTCCTCCATCTCCCAGGCCCCACCAGGTGCTGCCCCAGCACACAGCCCGGAGCACAGTGGATGAACCAGAATGTCTGATTCAGACATCGAGAAGGTTGCAGAGCCAAGGCTATGCTGCGAGGCTATCAGGGCCGTCTGGAGTTGGGAAGATGTGCTGTGAAGCAGTGAGGGAGGAGAAAAGGGTAGTCAGAAGCCAGAGAGAGCCATGGCAGAAAAGGCCTTCCTAGTGGAAGTTTCTGGACTGATGCCAAGAGAAAGTGGACAAAGAGAAGTTAGAGAACAGTCTGAACAGGGAAAACAGCATCAACTGCCCTCAAAATGATGAGGTGGGGAGCAAACTTCTTGAAGACAGCCACTGAGCCCCATCCTCGTCCAACCACTGTCCCTAGCTGACACAGTCTGTAAGCAGTACAAGCGGCCTGCGCCCTCCCCTCACCTTCTGTGAAGCAAGCGTCTGGATCCAAGTATTCCTCAGGCTGTTCCACAGGGACTTCTTCTACTTCTGGTTTGATGTCAATGGTGCTTCCTTCAGAGGAGCTAGTATCATCCAGTTTCTAGATATGCAAGGAAGAGGGAGGTCAAGAGACTGCACAGCGTGTCCATCCTACACTGACTGCTCAACCTCTGGTATGGATGATGTACTAGCTGGGATTCTCTATAATTCTTACTAGAAACTCATATGGGCAAACAATTACCACAGGGCTTCAGCGGGATGTAACACTGAGGCCCACTCACAGATGGCAGTGACCCTAGACGAATGTACTTATTGGCTGGTCTCAGGAATACAGCTCAGATAGATTAATGACAGGAAGTACCTGAGGGTTTATTCTGGTCTAGATGATCTAGACGCCATGGAGATAGATCCAGGAGCATCTAGGTCATCTAGGAAAGGCCTAGAATGACTACAGGGGATGAGTTGGCTATTCCAGAATCTCTCTGCTAAGCCCATAGCTGAACCAGTCTCTGGAGCCGACAGAGCCCTTTTTGTTCTCACACAGGATCAAGGTTGGTTTCTAGGCTGGGACCTTACATCTTTGCTGCCTTCAGGATCTGATTCGCTGCTAACGTCCTCTGTGTTGACATTCTCAAAATCGGACTCGCCTACAGCAATGGGCACCCGCACAGTTAAGTTGGGGTTGTTGATAAAGGACATGTGGTCCTCATCAATGATGTACTTCTCCACGCTGCTGCCAATGCCACTGGTGGTGCCATTGCCATTCTTCTGGAAGTCACCATTCCGGTGGATGTCTGCACCAGTGTGGTTGGCAATGCAGTTGGCCTTCTTTTCATACAGCTCGTCCAGTGGTTTCACCTCATCAGCCTCCCGCTGCTTGAAGTGGGCCTGCATGAAGGCACGCACTTTCACTTTGGTCCAAGCCACACCCTTCTTGATTCGGATCACTGAGATCTGCAGGTTGTTCATTTCCCCATCGTCATCCGTGGCTGCCAGATTGTCTGCACTGAAGGAGCTCAGGAGCAAGGCCAGAAACAGGTTCAGCACCTTAACAGTAGCATTGGAAAGGAGGAGAGTGAACATAGAATGGTATTAGGTAAGTTACCCACTAAACTAGGAAACCGGAAGCCCACAGACTTAAGTGACAAACTCAAGCATTTCTATTGTGTTTTATTTGGCCCACATACTGTTTTAAATGCTCATGTTACTAGGTGAGCATTTTGATTTTTGGTTGTAATATAAGGCATTTAGCACCTCTTTCCTTGTTTTTTTTTATAGCTTTACACGTACATATATTCCAAAATATGCTACCATATTTGTAATTAGAAAAAGCAAAGGCTGTATCCATTTTGGAAGAAAATCCCTGCAAACAAAACCCAAAAGTTGTATACAGATTATTGGGGAACATTAAGGAATGCATAGATGCCATGATTTCATAAGCAGTAGATGACTTAGAATGCCCATGTTAGAAAAAAACTAGGCTTGGAGAGCTATACTTTCATACAACAAATCAAGAAGATGGAACTGAAATATACAAGGTCTGTCCCGAAAAACTCCAGCTATCATTAATATAATGAGACCAGATTCCGCGACATCAATGTAACTTGACAGCCAAGGAGAGTGGACTGGATAGATGCGCATGTATGAACAATGACGATTTCACTGTACTAGTCAGTGGGGGCGGTAGACGCCATTGAATGAACGTGTGCACTGCATGGCTGTCGCATTCAAAATGACTGAGCGAGCAGAGCAACAAATCTGCATCACATTCAGTGTTCAGCTTGAACATTCCTTTGCAGAAACTATTGGGATGACTCAGAAGGCTTTTGGGGATGATGCAATGAGTGCAGTGCAAATAAGTGTGGCACAAATGCTTCAAAGATGGTCAAGAATCTGTTGAAAGTGATCCACATTCTGGAAGGTTTGCAACAAGCAGAACACCTGAGAATATTGAACATGTAGAGCCTACAGTCAACAAGGATCAGTGACTGATGGTGTGAGAAATAGCAACTGATCTGGATTCCAAAAACTGCTGTGTCTGAGATATTGATGTAGGATCCTGGCATGAAATGTGTCATGGCAAAATTCATTCCACAGCTTCTGCTACCAGAGCAGAAGGAACATCTTGCTGCAGTTGCTAATGAATTCAAATTGCTACCAATGAACTAGATTTCCTCAAGAAGGTCATAACCAAAGATAAATCATGGGTCTACAGCTATGATCCGGAAACAAAGGCCCAGTCATCCCAATGGAAGCCGCCTGGTTCTCCATGCCCAAAGAAGGCATGGCCAAGTTGCAGCAAGATCAAGACCATGCTAATTAACTGTGTTTTTTGATTAGGAAGGTGTTGTCCATCATGAGTATGTCCCTCCAGGCCAATTAATAAGGAGCACTACCTCAATGTTCATCAGTTGAGAGATGCAATATGACAAAAGCAACTGCAGCTATGAGCAACTGGTGATTGGCAGCTTCCTTGTGACAACAAGTGCCCACTCACGTATGTCTTGTGCAGAGATTTTTGGTGAAACATCAAATCACCCAGGTGACTCAGGCCCCCTACAGCCCAGATTTGGTGCCCTACGACTTCTGGCTTTTCCCAAAACTAAAATCACCTTTGAAAGGGAAGAGATTTCAGACTGTTGGTAAGATTCAGGAAAATATGATGGGGCAGCTGATGGTGATCCCAACAAAGGATTTTACAGTGTTTTGAACAGTGGAAGAGAATGCTGGGAGAACTGCGTGAGGTCCCAAGGTGCCTACTTTGAGGGTGACTGAGTTGTCATTGTCCTATGTATGATGTTTCTTGTATCTTCAATAAACATCTCTTTTTCATTGTACATGGATGGATACTTTCTGGACAGACCTCGTATTTTATGCCATCTTATTTTAAAATTTAATTTTCTTTGTCTTCCGAACATTTATCAAAATAAAACAGAACTAGTTACTTTCATTTAGTTTTGTTGTACATCTAAGTGTTAAGCCATCAGATAAAAGCTTTCTTTCTTATTTTCTGTTTCTTATTTTATTACATTGGTCATTAAGATTAATTTACTTTTATTAAGACTTTTTGAAGAGTGGGAGAGATGTTCACTTTTTTATTTATACTTGGCCTTTACTATGTTAAACTTCTGAAAAAGAGTAAGGCATTTATATTAAGTGGAGGTAATAGTATGCAGAGAGTGGGAGATAGAAACAATAAACTGTTTTTCGGATTATCTGGTCCATTTGTAGAATTAAAAAAGAGTATGTTGGTAAAATGGGGTGAACTGTAGAGAGTTCTGAAGGCCAGCCTGAGGGATTTGAATTTTAACAGGATCCGTCCGCTATTGGTTCCTGAGTAAAGGAGTCACAGATGACTACAGAGATTTGAGAAAGCCATTCCTTAGGAACTAGGAGTTTGGAGACTGTTATTTGTATGAATTGATAAGGGTCTGGATTAGGCTACAGTAATCTCAAACCTTAGAATGTACAAGCATCTCCTGGGGTGGGATGCTTGTTAAAAATACATAGTTCCTTGGCCTCCCCTGAGAGACTCTGAAACAGCAGATCTGCTGTAGGACCTGGGACTTGGCCTTTTTTTAATGAGTGAAACTTGGGTGATTGTGATGCCGGTTGTCATCACAATCACCCAAGTTTCTTCTAGAAATACTGGATGGGTTATAGAAATGGAAAGGAAGGGGCAGACCTTAGAAATACTATGAAGATGTATATACAGAAAAACTATGAAGAGAGATGTATGAAAGACATCAAACATTTACCGGGAGTGGAGAGAGTCAGAAGCAATTTACAGTTACAGATTCCTAGGGACTAGATGAGCAGAAGTGCTAAGCAAAGGGGGACCTGAAAAGACGTCATCAGAAGCAGAATAACAGGTGACTTTGTCATGTGCTTGGGGGTCTGTAGACAGTTATGGCAAGCTGCCTCTGAGACCATTGAGAATGGGAGACTAGAAAGAGGGCAGTGAGTCAGGGCTGGTAAATGTTGATCCTACTACCTAGTGGTAGGCAATGCTGTGCTCATGGAAGAAGCAGAAACACCAGAGGGCTTAGGACTGAGGGAAAGGTGGCTGAGACTAAGGAAAGGAAGAGATTAAAACAAAAAAGATTACAGAGTCTATTTTTATAGGTCAAATGAAAGAAGACGGTGGCCATAGCTGGTTCCGAAGCTGGTGAGTAGGAACCTCCTACTGTATGCTTCTCTATGGCAAATCAGGGAAGGGAACTGGTGTGAATCAGTTTACAAGGGTTCACTGAGTGTGCCTTTCCCCAGTCCCCTTGCTACACTTGCAAGTGGGATCTGGCCTGATCGGAAAGATGGGAACCTCCCATGCACTTAGTGTGCATGTTAGTCATTGAGGACCTTGTTAAAAACGCAGATCCTGACTCAGTAGTTCTGGGCGGGGGAGCCTGAGCGATCTCATTGTTGCTGGTCCTCAGGTCACACTCTGAGAAACAAGGTGTTAAAATGTTGGTGGGTGTCCTATATACAGAGGCAGAAAACAGTAGGCAGACAGACTGAAGTAAAGCAAGAAAGAGATTTGTCATTTATACAAATTAAAACCCTAAGATAGTTTAGGTCAGTGGTTCTCAATGAAGGGCGATTTCCACCCCCTAGGGGACAACTGGCAATGTTTGGAAACATTTTTGGCTGTCATAAGCTGGGGTGGTGGGGGTCACTACTGGAAACGAAGGGTAGAGGCCAGGGATGCTGCTAAATACCCTACAATACACAGGGAAGTCCCACAACAAAAAATTGCCTAGCCCAAAATGTCAATAGTGTCAAGGTTGAGAGATTCTGGTTTAGCAGAAGGAAACTTTTATTGTAGAAAAAGCATAGGGTTTGACGTCTAGAATCTAATATAAACCCTGACATTTATCAGTGGTGTGGCTTTAAGAAAAGTCACTTTGCTGAGTTTGTTTCCATAACTATGAAAAACTGTTGGCAGGCTGTGGGGCGTATGACTCAGTAGGCCTCTGTGAACAGCAGGCTCCTTTCTTTCATCTGTACCTTACGGTTCTTGGGCCAAGAAAGAATAAAAACCAACACAGACATGGAAGATAATAGAAGGACTAATCGAACTGGGCCTCTAGGCCAAGGATAAAACATTCAGGTCAAAGAACAAAAAGATCTCCAAGTTAATACTAACCACCAAGTTGCCAATGACCATGACCATCATGAAGACAATGAGGCACATGGCTTGGCCAGCCACCTCCATGCAGTCCCACATGGTCTCAATCCACTCCCCGCACAACACTCGAAAGACAATGAGGAAGGAATGAAAAAAGTCATTCATGTGCCAGCGAGGGAGGTCACAGTCCTGGTTGATCTTGCAGACACACTCTTTGTAGCTCTTCCCAAAGAGCTGCATCCCCACCACAGCAAAGATGAAGACAATAATGGCCAGCACCAGGGTCAGGTTGCCCAGGGCACCCACTGAATTTCCAATAATCTTAATCAGCATGTTCAGGGTGGGCCAAGATTTGGCCAATTTGAAGACTCGGAGCTAAGAGAAAACAAACAAACACCAAATGACACTCCATTTATTTTCTTACCACATGGCTAAAATAAAAACATATAAAATTAATAAGATCAGGTTAAATATATTGAGCATGCCTGGGAAATCCTCAGGACTTTCTAAACATTTTAGTCTAAATTAGACTAAAATGGGAGAAACTGAGGCACAAATAAGGGAAACATTAATTTCACAGTAAATGACAGGTTTAGAACTAGGAGTCAAATGCTGCCTCTAGTGCCCCCTCCCCCATATTAGTTCCTGGGTCAATCAACTTTTTTAAAGAGCCATATAAGAACATATCCTTTTCCTATTGATTTTTCCTCAACTTCTCAAGAGACATATCAAAGAAAATGTGATTTGTAGTGAACCAAAAGATCAGTGTGGTAAGGACAGTGACAATAAATCATCTGTCTCCTTCAAAAAGCATCTGAAAATTCTAAATCAATGGGCAATGTGAAACTTTGTGATATGCTTGGAATAACTTGGAAGGAAAACACAATTCCCAAGACAGAGCAGTTCTACATATGTCCATACATCAAACATCTTCTTGAAAGGGGACTATACAGAGTGGGGGGAAATTAGGTTCATATAGCAAATAATACAATAATTACTAAATAATAATACAAGAATAAACTGTTTTGTGTAATCCAACTGTAAACCCATTTTTGCTCCACCCTACACTGATATTAATTCAGAGGACAGAATTTATAGTATCTGTCAGTCATGAAACTTCTATATTCTATAATCATTCATATGAATAGATCACAAGGTCTTGGCTAAGGCCTGAGAATGCAGAAACCCTGTGAATGGAATGATGATGATATTATCATCGGATGTCATAAGTTAACAACTAATGGATAATAGGTAACAGAAATTCTGGTAGAAGCAACAGCATTGATTTGAACATTTTTTTTCTTACTGAAAACTTTAGTCTCATCTAAGAATTCAAGATTTACCAGCTATTGCTCTGTGCGTATATCTGGGTCACTCATATTTTTCCCCTTTTTGACTGGCTTTTACTTTATTTATTTATTTTTAAGATTTTTATTTATTTATTTTTAGAGAGGGAAGGGAGGGAGAAAGAGAGAGAGAGAGAAACATCAATGTGCGGTTGCTGGGGGCCATGGCCTGCAACCCAGGCATGTGCCCTGACTGGGAATCAAATCTGTGATGCTTTGGTTCGCAGCCCGCGCTCAATCCACTGAGCTACGCAAGCCAGGGCTGGCTTTTATTTTATTAAGAAAATTAGTGCTAAGGTTTCTATCTCTTAATCTTTCCTCCTACTTTCTAGATAATAAGAAATGTTCCCAAAAAGTCTACCATGAAAAAAAGTCTACTGTGGGCTGGGTCCTAACCAAAAATTAGTAAGCAGAGCTTCCAAGAACCTGGTAGATGTTAAATTTGTGATTTGGACTCAATGAGATCTCTCTTTTACAAATATTTTCACTCTGTTCCAATTCTCTTATATATGCTGAATATCCTGATGAAAAAGCCTTAAATTCTTGCAGTTGAAAGTGCTTAGGTATTCTCCCAACAGGAAGAGAAAAAAAACCCAAGCCAGTTCTGATGCTCTGTCTGAGTGGGGCGTCCACTCGGCTTCTCAAGGGGCGTAAGCAGTGCCTCACTTGCGCTCATGCCCCGGGAAGCTATTTGGAAGATACCGTTAACCATTCTTTCAGAGTCATTTTAGTCATTTACACATTAACTGCTCCAAATACATTAATTTAAAAAATCCTTCTTAGCTGACAATATGGAAAACAAGGCCAATGTTCAACAATGGATTTCAATATAATATTTTAAAAGATTACTTTATTTTCATTTTCTGCAAGGATTCACCAAAAGAGAAGAAATGAGGAGAGCCATTTTTGAACAAGGAGGAATTTCTGCCATTTCAGGGAGATGTTTGAATAAAGAAATAGGTTCACTAGCAAATTCAAATCAGACCTCAGAACAGTCCCTTCAATTTTTAGATTAACCATTATTTTAGGAGAAACTTCCTAAAATTGATGTCTGTGATTGGCATTAAAAACTAACTTATATATTAGGTGTGTAGCAGGAAAGTTTTTAAGATCTTAGTAACTAAGTCACTGAACAGCTACCTGGCATTGAATAGAACATAGTTAAGGACTTTTACAAATATAATTTGCATAATTAACTTATGCAAAACTCTTTCTAGTAGTTGCAAGACAGGAAATATGAGAAGAAATTGGAGAAATATGGAATACCAATCGGAAAGATCGCAGCACCGAAAGCCCCTCCACATCTGCTAGACTCAGTTCCATTAAACTGAGGGAGACAATAAATCCGTCAAAAATGTTCCAACCTTCTTGGAAATAATAGTAGGGATCCATGGCTATGAGCTTCAGGAACATTTCTGCTGTGAAAATTCCAGTGAAAACCTGAAGAGGGGAACGCAGGGGTTAAGAAAAAGAAATAATAGAAGGAGAATGTCTTTATCATTATCTCTGAATACAACATGTCCAAGAAGCCACAAGGGCCAGCAGCCCTGGTTAAATCCTGCATCCGAGGACACCAATCCCCAGATGTCCCATGACCACTCCACATGACGCAGGAGAGTCTTATTCTCTCTTGAATGAAGTACTCAGCCCCAGTGTTCCCATCTTTGTTGCCACAACCACCCAAATCACACTGTTAAGAGTGTAGTTGAAAAGTCATTCTAAGCAATGGGAATTCTCAAGGGTTAGCAGTCATTTGAGTATGTATGCTTGGGATGTTTGCCTGAAAAAGAAATCTCTTGTTGTGCTATAGTTTTACTAGAAAGATACAGCATTATTTCTGATTTGATATTATGTGTCTTATCAAACTTAAAGCATATGTTGCAGGGTTTCTTATTTTAAATCGTAAGGCAATAGAACATTGCTAAGTGTGCAAAACACAGAAAAAAAAACATCTGTAGTCTTACCACCTTGCATACAACTATCATTTATATATATTCCCCTTCTGCTTTTTTTCAAATGCATAGATATTTTGACACAGTTGTAAAGTCAGAATACCCAGTATGCATCGTGACTTTATTCACATTGCTACATGGTCTTCCTGTCTCACTTTTACTGCCTGTATAAAAATGGTGAAAAGTACTTAGATTACAGACGCTGTTTGGAAATATACTGACTTGCTGTATAAAAATAACAAAAGAGAAAGACTCAAAAGGATAAAGATCCAAATGGATAAGCAGGCTACCACTTTTTGGTGCCCATATACTATTATGTGGTTCCCTATTTTTCTAAATTGAAGATGCAGTATTCTAAAATGGAAAGAATATTCCCTGAAGAGATCCAATTAAGCAAAATCAAAGTTCACAGGGCAAGGTAAGTATCTACAGATACAACATCCCACTAAGTGAGGTCAGGGAAAGTAGGGGCAGCTAATCAATTCATGACATACATGTTACCCTTTGTGTAAACCACCCATCAAAGGCTCATCTACACAGAAATGTTACCCTGCTCAGTGCACACTAAGTAGAAGCTGAATCTGTGGTCCCATTGGTTCCTGGTGAGCGCACGAGAAGTGCTCAGTAACAAGCACTGGCTGATTGACTACGGAACGGCCATACTGTGGGAGCCCAAGTTCCTAAGTGAAAACCAACAATGGCACCGTTATGCAGTGCTGACTTCCAACGGGATGAATGTCCCGCAGACACCTGGTAGGACTGCCTTTGACAGAGGTCAGCAACCATGTTGTTTCAGTGCATAGTGTGCTTCCATCATTTGGGGTTTGGGTGAAAATAAATCTGTAACTATTGGTTATATGATGAAATGACTTTAAAAAACAGGAAAGAGTAGATTCATGGTTACCTCTGTGATGCTCTCTTATTTGCACTGAGACATGCTTCCTGAAGAGGGGGAAAAAAATTTTAACCAGTGTATCAACAACTGTACATAAATGTCACTCTTGTGAATGTCAGCAAATACTCATCTAGGAATTTATGTTCTAATGCAGCAGTTCTCAAAGCGAGTTGAGGATCCCCGGGGTCCCTAAGACCCTGTCAGAGGGCGCAGGGTCCTCCTTTCCCCAAGTACGTATCTGTGTGAGGCCAGGTTTTCTCCCTGCGCTTCAGCCCAAACAATATAGCACATGGGTTGGACACAGAAGCAGGTAAGAGAACTGAACTCTCTTCTATTAAACCAGACATGACAGAGATTTGCAAAGATGTCAAACAATGCTGTTTTTCTTTGCAGGAAATATAGTTTTGCCCCATGTTATTTATGTAATTATGTGATGGGCACATTATTATGATTTTTAAATACATACTTAAGACTTTTTGTGGCTTTAATTTCAAACATGGTACATATCAATAGATAAAACTCTCATAAACAAAAGCTTTTTAGCTCTTTTTAGGAGTGTAAAGGGGTCCTAACACCAAAGAAAGATTGAGAACTGCTATTCTAATAGAATGTTCTGAATTCAGAGTGGGCATATTTTTGTAGTTTGGACAAGCCCTTGGGCACAGGTCTGAGAACCTGTAACACCAGGTCACCCAGTAGGGCCTACAATGCCCTCAGATGGGGGCATTGCATTTGAGGGTCACTCTGGGGTTGGGGGAGGGTCGGGAGAAGCGGCACACTCCTTCTGCCAAAACCGCAACTGTGAACAAACTTCAGGCTCACCTGGGAGTGACTAGGGTTTGCATGCTCTTGTCTATTCTCAGAGGGGACTAATTAGCTCCTGTTCCGTAGTGGCCTTCCCTCAGAGTTAATGACATTCGATTTGATGAAAGCCTCATATGTACCACAATGGAGACATGAAAAAAACAACACATGAACATACAAAATAATAGCTTCTTAGGAACTCAAGTCACCAGGAGGCAGGGTGACCAATCCATCTCGGTTTGCCCGAGACTTTCCTAATACTGGAAGTCCTGCATCCTGGGTGTCCAGTCAGGAAGACCAACTTGTCCTGGTTTGCCTAGGACGTCCCACTCTTGAAACAGAAGTTCCACATCCCAGGAGCCCCCTCAGAGCCATGCAAACTGGAATGGCTGGTTACCCAACATGGAGGAGACACAACACCTGAAACACGATGTAATGAGGGCTTCAAAAGGTATGCACAAGGGGCTATGAGGACATGGATGAGAGAAAAATTAGAATAAAAGGAATCCTTTTTGGTTGAAAATCTGGTTAAGCTATGGTTAAGCTGTAGTTAAGAAATGATAACATTTATATGTATTTGGTAAAGAAGGAAAACAGCTTTCTGTTTTTCCTTTTTTTTGCTTAGAATCTCAGAGATCGAACTTACACGGCACATTAAGCCTTTGCCCTTCCTTCCATATCTCCAACCCCTCAAACGATTCAGTCCGAAATTCCTCCCGTGGGCATCCACACGGAGGGAAGCCTGGTGCCAGGTGCGGGAGCCCAAGCAGGGAATGCGTGCAGGGAAGCAGCCTGGCGTGGGCTGCCACGGCCTGTGCAGGCCAAAGGGGATGTCCACTTCGGGGGATAGTCCAGGACTGGGACGCAGAGGGCGTTTGTGCAGGGTGGTCACCCAGCACAGGGTGTCAGAGCCTAGGCAGGATGAAGGGCTTCCGCTCGGGGGAAGTCCGGGGTGGGATGAAGAGGGGTCCGTGTCGGGGGAGGCCCACTGTGAAGCGTTCAAGTCCAAGTGGGGTAAGGGGAACAAGCATGTGTGGGGTGGCCTGGCCTGGCCTGAGGTGTCGGGGCCCATGAGGGGCAACGAGGGGTCCACGCAGAGGGACTGGTGTGGAAGCTGGAGAGCCTGGCACAGGGGGTCAGAGCCCGGACAGTGTGGGGAGGGCGCCCATGCTGTTAGAGGTACTGGTGGCTTTTCATCCGATCAGTTAACATATTAAAGACAGTGGCAACCAGGTTTCTGTTTGTTGCACAAAGAGTTACAAACATAGAAAGGAAAACGAGAATGAATCCCGTAGTGCTGGCCTGGAACTGGAAGTGACAGCACGAACTCCCGGTTTCCAGTGTGTGCAGGTAGCCTGATGCCAGCAGCTAGCCTGGTTCGGGGAGGGCCTAGGCCTGCCCATTGCCTCTCCAGATCCTCACTTCTAAACATCACTTCCCCTAAACCAGGGGTCCTGGGGAAACTGCTGATCCCAGGCCTGAGGCAGGAAAAACAGAAGATCAGCCTGGAGTATCTTGTGACAGCAGAAAAAAAGGAAGTGCGGAGGCTGAGGACGTGATGAGAAGACACAGAAGCCAGCCTAAGGGGCTCCCACTGGCCACACCTGGAGTGGTTTATCAAACATCAAAGTAAATGATGGTAACAGGATATAAACCACCGGATAAAACTGAAAACCATGAGTTCATGCTGGTGTTAGTAAATAAAGGAATGAATCCAAAGTTTGATGAAGAACAGGCAATGCAGATAGTTTTAAAGTACCTTCCTCACAAACACTTACTAACTATAAATGGCAAAAGAGTAACTTTACAGGGGAGAAGCCTGGCAGACACCTCCTTAATCAAGTAATCAACAGCACCAGCAATGTGACAAACGGAAACTGTGTGCCACCTGGTAGGTGCAGTGAGGAGACAGCCTCACTGGCGTGGTCTTCCTGCCAAATGCGTAGCTTGAGTCTCATCACGAGGAAGCAGCAGACAAACCCAAATGGAGGGAATTCTAAAAAATAACTGTAGTCTTCAAAAGTGTCAAGGTCATGAAAGTCAAAGGAAGACTGAGGAACTCTTCCAGGCTGAAGAAGATGAAAGAGTCAGGAACTAAATGGAATATGTAACTCAAACGGAATCCTTTTTGTTATAAGACAGTACTGGGATTATTGGCAAAACTTGAGGGGTCCTGAGAATCAGGTGGCTGTAGTGTGTCCGTGTCAACTTCCTGACTGTGGCAGTTACATTGAGGTTATATAGGAGAATGCACTTGATCATAAAAAACACACTAAAGTATTTGGAGTGATAAGGCTGTGTCAGCAACTTACTCTCAGAAGAAAGTTCTTTATGCTATACTCAAAACTTATTGGTACAATTGTTTTTAAAAACCACCTTATAAACCCACTATTGTGTTCAATTGGTTGCAAAAAGGGCAAGACAAGAATCATGACTAAACAATCCAAAAATTGTGTAAGTCACATGGTCTCCCTGGGCTTTGACTTCTTTTATTAAACCTGTGGGTTGGATCAAATGATCTTTAAGGCTCCTTCTATTACTAGAGTTTTCCTTGTGGGGAAGGCAGAAGAGGTGGGGAGTACAGATTTACAGAAGGCTTCTCATCTTCCTCAGAAACACCTATCTGCACATCTACAGACACACACAATTTAATCACCATCCTGAGTGTGGGAAAAACCTCTCGTTCCAACTATAAGACAAGGCTGTACTCACGAGCTAGTCCATCTCATCTTTTTCCATCCCCTTTTTCTTAGGCTTCTGTCAAAGGCTCTACCCAAATCTCCAAGCCTTTGGGAATTCTCCTGCTGAGCTATACTAGTACTGCTCCTAAGATTTGCAGAGTGCTTTTCACTCTTCCAAACACTTCAGCATAGTTTCTCATTTTATCCTCCCAACTACCGAAGAATGACATGGTGCTAGTCTCAGTCTATAGACCTAAAACATTTCTAAACAGACCTAAAACATTTCTAAACAGAAATGAATAGCTTATTTAAGGTTAAACTGCATCAAGCAAGAACCCAAACCCAAATCTTCTGACTACTAATTCTGTGTTCTTTCTGCTCTACTTAATACTCAGCTGGCAAAAAAGTATAGTTTCTAACTCCCACAGGCACAAGTCTTCATTTCTTGCTCTTCACCCTCACATGCAATCCATCGGCCAGGCCAGAGTAACCTGAACCATGTGCTACTCTCCATGCCTGTTGCTAACTGTACATTTACTTTCCCCTTGAGCCTCCCCCTCCCCCAGTCATGCTTTCTTATTTTAGAACTTGGTTCGGCTTGGCTGGCCTCATGGAGTCCCTGAATATTAGCTGCCAACCTTCTCTACTGTTGGGAACCGCCCTGCCTGGAGCTGTAATCGCCCCCCTCCCCCCCATGGCTAAGGCTGAGTGCACTTTGGACCATAAGCCACTAAGGAGACAAAGCTCATCTCCCTGGCAGGAGCACTGCTTCTGCTCCTTTTTTCATAACTGGACCCCAATGCTTGATCAGTTAGCCAATGATGGGTAAGATTCCCCAAGTGGGGAACAACTTAAGACAGGCATGATCACGTGGAGGCCCCAGAGAAGGACTGGGGAGGTTATGGAGAAAGGGGGTGATGGACCCTCGCCCCTCGGCTTTGACAAAGCCTGAGTCCTCATTCTGTCTGCGAGAAGTCTCCTATCTCTTGGCTGCCTTACTTCCCCTGCCTGACTTAATCCTAAAACAATGACACAGGGTGGTGCAGCCCTGCTGGAAAGGGTGGGTTTCTCTGGGTGATCAGGCCTGAGAAAATACATAAACTCTTATGGAAACCTGCTTTGCTAAGAATGCTCTTAATTAAATGATAAAGTTCGGGCAGGAAATCAGTTTGCTTCCCAAAGTTTTATAGCTCTTTAGCTAACAGACCCTAACTTAAAATAGGCCCTCAGAGTTCTTTGTATGTTATCTATTGTTTGACCCTTACTGCCTGACAATAATTAATAAACTTTACCTGTATTCCTGGGTGAATTAAAAGCCAATAAAAATCCTGTGAAGGGAGGATCAGGGCGCTCTCCTTTGAGAGAGTGGCCAGGCCGCTCCGAGGCACCCTCCCCTTGAGAGGGTAGCCGGGCCGTCCTTTTTCCTCCACAGGACTTAGTAGTCCGTGTGAATGTCTCATGTCTCATCCATGACGCCTCAGACACTGCGGGCCCGTGTCTGCGTCAGTCAACTTTCCCCTTTCTTCGTTAATGGTTCTAAGCAAAGTCTTCTGAATGTTCACAACTCTAATTTAGATGTGACCCTAAATCTCCGTAGACTTTTAATAAAGGAAAACATAATGTTATTTGCTGGCCTGGCCTGAGGGCAATTATACTGGTGGTAGGTAAAGGGGCCTTTCAAAATCCCTTGGAAATTGAGAACTGATTTCATAAAAAGCAAGTAAAAGTAAAGACTTTGAGAAAAAAAATGCTACAGGGAAAACACCACCACCACCACCACCAAAATTGATCAAGTCATATTTCTTAATGCTTAACCCATGGCTAAAATAAAATAAAGCTTATATCTATGTGATGTTGTTCATTGGCTCAAAATGCTGCTCGATGGCCAAGGCCCTGGGCCAGCCAGTCACGCAGCAAGCGCACCTTCAGGCACCTTTCAGAGCCAGTGAGCAGGGTTCCTGGACAGCTACTTCAGCACTATGGCCATTTCGTCAGGCTGCACATGAGAGTCTGCAGCACCGCAGCGAGCCAACCGAGACATGGAGATTGGAAAGGCCACAGAACCCTCCTGGATGTGTACCAGGGAACACAACAGGCTACAAGGACTAGCCAGACAAAGGATCCCTTTCGCCACATGTGTTTCCAGAATCAGAACTCAAAATGATATTATCACACTTAATAGTGTTTTAGGGCTTAAGACAGAAGCTTCTGAGGTGTGTGTGTGTGAGAGAGAGGGAGACAGAGAGAGAGAAAGAGAGAGGTGAAGAGAGGGAAGGAGAGAGGAGGGAGGGAGGGAGGGAGGGAAGGAGAGGGGAGGGAGGGAAAGGGAGAGGAGGTGAGGAAGGCAGGAAAGGAGGGAGGGAGAGGAAAAAAAACAAACACCAGGTGGAGATTATGCTCCAATCAAATGGTAACAACTGGGTCTGACATGCCTGTGGTGGAACGCCTCAAGAATAATGTGGCTCAGCTGACCAAGGGGATTCTCTCCAACCGATTCTTTACTGTCTATCAGAATTCAACCAACTCCTGATTTTTGAACTAAAGAAGTAAAACAGATAATCCCCAAATCACAACTACTTGATCTCAGAATATATTGTGTAGTCTATTTTTTTAAAGTGCCTACTTATCTTCTAATTAATATCATAAATGAAATATATGACTTAAGCTAATATTGCAATAAATTTGGTGCAGATCAACCACTGGTGGAAAGTGGATGATAGCCCAGCAGTTGGACTGGAGGGAAAACTAACCTAGAACTAAAAACTTCCCCTAGATAGTACCCTATGGATAATTAATATGACAGCAGAGGCCAATTTATAGTTACATTTAATGCACTTAAAGAGCACCCCTATTTTGTGGTGGCTGTCTCTGAAGGTGAAAGGAGATGTGATTTGCTGGACCAACGCAGGAATCGATGTGAGAAACAGTGAAAAAAAAATCCAGGAGTCCTTGGCTCGGGCTGCGAAACCAGCCCACTGTACCATGCCTCCCATTCTGTCACCACGGTTGGTTTCCTGCCAAAGCTCCTAAATGACGTCGTCTAAGTTCTGCAGAGAGAGGAAACAGCCAGGGATCATAACAGTGAGAAGCGGCTGGGCCCACAGCATATGTGGAAGCATTTGTCTTCCCATTAACTAGTACTTTCTTTTCACCTCGGCTCCTGCTTTCAGTAGCAGGAAAACATGTCCTACAGGCAAAACATGTTCTGGTCACAAAATCAGGAGACAGCACTCTGTCTTACCAGATTTCCTACAGACAAGACATGCTCAAACTGTGGCGTCATAGGATGGTGCTCCATGGCCATGAACAGTGTATTCAGGACAATGCAGATGGTGATGGCCAAGTCCACAAAAGGGTCCATAACAATCAAGTTCACAATCTCTTTCACTTTTATCCAGTAGGGGTGGCACTCCCAGATGAGGAAAGTATTAGCAAATTTATACCAGCATGGAGGGCACTTTCTCTGGGACTCTTCCAGCTCTGTAGGGAAGAAAGAACAAAGGTGGCCCCTCAGTCACAGTAAGAAAACAAAGGAGATGGTACAACGCTTCACTGGGGCATTATCACTGCTATTAACACGAGAACAAAGGTGGCTTATGTGCGGACTTTCCTTAGCGTTTCCCTGGGTATTCCTTCTCTCAAAGGGAGACAGGAGGCATGAGCAGTACCAGTCCACTCCCCCATTAATAATGAGCTCGTTATAAACAGAATTCTATCCATTCATTTTGGGAGCACGGCACAGTAGTTGGGAGCTTAGCCTCTGGAGTCTCACTCCCCATTGAACTGGCTTCAGCCCTCACAGGCTGTGTGATCTTGGGCAAGGTGCTGACTCCTCTATGCCTCAACGGCCTCATCTGAAATGGCACTTACTTTAAGGTTATACAACTAAACCAGTCCTTAATCCTCATCCATTCATTAGGGATTAAATGATTTGATGTTTCTAAAGCAGAGCTCACAGGGTCCGGCACAAGGTAAGCCCTCAATAAATAGTGTTATATTATACATTATATCATTCGATTATCATCAAAGAAGCAGTAAAAGGTATGCCTCTGAAGGCAGACATACCTTGATGCAAATACCAGCTGAGACACTTGCTAACTATGGGAACTTGAGCAAGCGATTTCAATTTCCAAAGAGAATTAAATGAGCTAAAATAAAGTGCCTCAGAACATCCTGGCATATACTAAGTGCTGCAGAAATATTTAGTATTGTTCTTATCTTTATAGCAGAATCAGTATCATCAACCAAGCCACCATGCAGTACACATCTTTTATGTTTCCCAAGAAGTCAATGAGTGTCCAGTTAGAAATGCAAGTCATGTTCCTTTTCCCTTTTCTCCCTTCTTTTCTTTCTCATCGCTCCTCTCTTCCTTTCTCCTTCTCTCTTACCCTTTCCCCCTTTCAAACTTTTCTTCTTTATCTTCTTCCCCTCTCCCTCCCTCAGTCTCTTTCTTCTTTCTTTTTTCTTCCTCTCCTTCTTTTGTCCTATCCTGTCTTTTTGCCTCTTTTAGAAGCAGTACCTGTTTTTTCTAACAAGATTTTATGTAAGTGCTAACATGTAGGACAGACGAACCAGGAATTGCTCTAGTTGAGACAAGAAGAGGAGCTTGGTGCCAGTCCAATTGACTTTTGCCTTTCCTGAGGTACCTACCCAGAATCCCAGGACTCTGATAAACACAGACCAAAAATCACTGGACTAAATGATCTCTAAGGTTGTTTACCAAGTAAATATTAAAAAGGGTGATTAGACACTAAAGGCAGAGAGCCATTTAGCTGGCAGCTACACCCACCTAAACACGAGGCCCTAGGTAACAAAGCTCTCCACCAACTGAGTATGAAATATAATAGCTAGGATCATAAAAGTCCAAGGACCTTGACTTAGGAGAATGTTAAGAGGTGTAACTTTGCAAACCTGTTAGCATGACAATCCTTATGGGCAAGGTATTGGGTTCTGAGAGGTTGGCTGTAATTGCATCCCCTCTCTGCCCAATTCTTCTGACAAAACCAAATTATTCACAGAATAGAAGAAAGTTTCCCAACATTTCATCAAGAACAAGATGGAAGCCTTCAATTAGTCTACTTCCCCCTTTTCCAACAGCTGGATGGTGCCCATGGTGATAGCTTTATTTTAGATGGGTGCTTTGGTTAGGTTTCTGATTGGCTCCCTGGTTGCTAAGAAAATGGTTGCCTTGGTTTTTCAGTTTTGAGGGCCACAGTAAGCGCCACGTGGGAGTCTGCGTGGGAAAGGAAGTCTGTGAAGAAAATTTGCTTTGGCTTCTTCCTTATAGAACTCCCTCCGTTCCCAAGGTAAATTTAGTTCCCCCCCACCAAAAAAAAAAAAAAAGAAAATGAAAAGGTTCTCTTATTTCCATAAATTCTTGTAGTACATATTTGGAAATCGGGTTCTGTTCCTTTTTTATCTCCTTCCTTCTTCAAATGTCTGCTGCTCACCATCACAGCATGCACGTGGAGGCTGAAGCAGCTACTGTTCACATTTCTGACAGCTGACACAATTGTGATGTTTTATAATGAACTAGGCTCCACGTCTTTGCCACACAGTGAGGAGGGGCTTCTTTACCCTATGGGGCACAGGAAGATTCCTAGAGGGATACTAGATATCTCTTAACCACCTTTACTGAGAAGGGTAGATACTCAGGGCTTTTTTCATTCCACCAAACGTAAGACAACGTAGAGTGTTAAAAGCTAGAAAACATCAACTAGGTGAATAAGAAGTATATAAAGTAACTCACAACTCTGCAAACTTACTGGCCCCACATGCCTGAAATGGGTTAACATAGAGCAGGTGTCCAAAGGTTTATGGGGTTTCCCTTACTTGCTCTGGACATTTTCAGAGAGGATGCCATAGGTCTCAGCTTCTGGGGTACAGGCAACTGTTTTCAGAGAGGGCTTCACAATGCCACCGAGATGGTAGCGTGAGCAGACCATGAGGTTTTTGAAGACAGGGGCTTCTCTCAATTCAATTCAACTCAATTCAACAACTTTTTAAGCACCCACAATTTGCCAGACACTGGGGAAACATTAAAAAACAAGAATCTCCATCCTCACAGAGTCTACAGCTGCACCAGAAAGGCAGACAGACACCAGGGAAGTAACTGTACTGATACTTAATGCTTGTCAGTTGAATAAGAGAGTAAGTAATTTGTGGCAGCAACAGATACAGCCAATTACCTCTATAGGGGAGTTTTTAAAACTGTTTAAGCCATGAATAAGTAATGCCAAGTACCATCACTACTTCCTCACTGCTACTTCGCCAGCTTTCCCCTTCTCCCAGGGCTTTACTGCTTCAAGGCAGAGTGAAACTACATTGTTCTCTGCCTGCACCCTACCTCCAGTCCTCTGAAATATCCCCAAAGCTGATGGCTCTGCTGACTGAATTCTGCTGAGTTGTTTGGATGCTGGTGAGCATGCTTCCAACAGGATAGGGTGAGGCAGAGGAGGCTGGACTTTCCATTATTTATAGGATGCTGGAATTCTCCACGGTGGTAGGTAAGAGACTGCTTCTTTGGTTTTAAATAATAGTAATTTTAGTCTTTGGATGAAAATGTCAGAGTTTCCTAACTGAAGGTCTGGGAAGCAGTACAATTATTCATTCAGTGCGGGCTTTTCATGCTGTAGTGACCATTAAATCTAGAGGGAACAGTGGTTAAATAGGAATAAATCTTTCTTAATGTCCTTTAATTCCCTTTCACATTATTCAGCTCCAGCCATTCATTGTTCTCTGCTTACAGCAGCTGTCCCATCAGTTTAAACAAAGGGAGTCGAATACTAGGGGAGGGGACAGGAGGAATGTCTGAGCAGGAACAGGCAGGAAAGGTACATGTGATGTGAACTTCAGGTCTTAGAAAAAGGGAAGAACTAGAATGGCTTCCTTCTCAGGAACACAATGACAGCTGTCTCTCTCTCTCTCCCCCCTGCTACACTTGCATCTGTTTTTTTACATGTGTGCTGGTGGGTGGAGGGTGGAGAATGAGTACAGCAGGACAGAAAGAGAAGGAAGAGGATGGAGAGAACAGGAAAGAAAGGGACAAGAGAACAACAGTAATTCTCCAATGATTCAGCTCTAACTCAGTAGAGCGAGAAAAGTAGGAGGTTTCCAGAGGAAATCCTATGGCACCAACACTCCCCACCACTCCACACACAGCAAAATTCAGTTCAACAGACATTTTCTGAGCATTGGCTCTTGCCAGACCCTGCATAGGTCACCCAGGTCATCAAAAAATAATTGTTGCATTGCATTGATAGTTCCCCTGTTCTTACATCTTTGCCAATAATAAAATATGCCTTCAGAGGATGTTAGTTTTCTTTTCTTTTTAAAGATTTTATTTATTTATTTACTGGACTTCCAGCCAAGATGGAGGTGTAGGCAGATACACTTTGCTTCCTTGCACAACCAACAGAAGGACAACAGCAAATTTAAAAACAAAAAATAACCAGAACTACCAGAAAACTGAACTGTATGGAAGTCTGACAACCAAGGAGTTAAAGAAGAAACATTCATCCAGACTTGTACGAGAGGTGGAGACATGCAGCCGGGGTGAAGAGGACTACACTTGTGGCAATGTGGCAGCTGGCAGACTGGGCAAGGCATCAGCTGGTGGAGTGGGTGGTCCCATATTTTCGTGATAAATTGGGAGGAACAACTGGGGAGCAAGATAGATCGTGCAACCCAGGCTTCCACCATGGGGAAAGAAAGCCTCAAAACCTCTGACTGAAAACACCTGTGGGTGTTGAAGCAGTGGGAGAAATTCCCAGCCTCACAGGAGTCCGTTGGAGAGACCCACAGGGTCCAAGAATAAACACAAAACTACCCTCCACCCCAGGAGTCTGCACCAGAAGGGCCCAAGTTGCTTTGGGTAGTGGGGGAAGTGACTGAAAGCCAGCTGAGAGCCTAGCAAGAGGCATTGTTCCCTCTCGGACCCCTCCCCCACATATAGCACTATGACACAGCCACCACTATGACAACCCACCAGGGTGGGTTGCCCCACCCTGGCAAATACCTAAAGCTCCACCCTTCACTACATAAAAGGTGTGTCAAGACAAAAAAATATGGCCTAAATGAAAGAACAGATCAAAGCTCCAGAAAAAATACAAGTAAGCAATGAAGAGACAGCCAACCTATCAGATGCAGAGTTCAAAACACTGGTAATCAGGATGCTCACAGAAATGGTTGAGAATGGTCGCAAAATAGAAGAAAAAGTGAAGGTTATGAAAAGTGAAATAAAGGAAAATGTACAGGGAACCAACAGTGACGAAGGAAACAAGGACACAAAGCAATGATTTGGAGCAAAAGGAAGAAATAAACATTCAACCAGAACAGAATGAGGAAACGAGAATTCAAAAAAACGAGGAGAAGCTTAGAAACCTCTGTCACAACTTCAAATATTCCAATATCTGAATCACAGGAGTGCCAGGAGGAGAAGAGGAAGACCAAGAAATTGAAAATTTATTTGAAAAAATAATGAAGGAGAATTTCCCCAATCTGGCAAAGGAAATAGACTTCCAGAAAGTCCAAGAAGCTCAGAGTCCCAAAGAAGTTGAACCCCAGGAAGAACACACCAAGGCACATCATAATTATATTACCTAAGATCAAAGATAAGGAGAGAATCTTAAAAGCAGCAAGAGAAAAGGAGACAGTTATCTACAAAGGAGTTCCAGATAGTCTTCCCATAAGACTATCAGCTGATTTCTCAGAAGAAAACTTGCAGGCAAGAAAGGGCTGGAAAGAAGTATTCAATGTTATGAAAGGCAAGGACCAACATGATAAAAAATACGAACAATAAAATAACAAATTCACAACTATCAACAACCAAACCTAAAAAAACAAAAACGAATTAAGCAGACAACTAGAACAAGAACAGATTCACAGAAAGAAAGATCACATGGAGAGTTATCAGTGGGGAGGGAGGAGAATGAGGGGAAAGGTACAGGGAATAAGAAGCATAAATGGTAGGCACAAAATAGATAGGGGGAGGGTAAGAATAGTAAGGGAAATGGAGAAGCCGAAGAACTTGTATGTATGACCCACAGACATGAACTAAGGTGGGGGAATGATGGTGCTAGTGAGGTACAGAGCAGAAGGGAATAAAGGGGAGAAAAAAATGGGACAATTGTAATAGCATAATCGATAAAATATATTAAAAAATATTTTATTTATTTTTAGAGAGGGGGAAGGGAGGGAGAAAGAGAGGGAGGGAAACATCAGTGTGTGGTTGCCTTTCATGTGACCCCTATAATGGGGGACCTCACCCGCAACCCAGGCATGTGCCCTGACTGGGAATTGAATTGGCAACCTTTCAATTCACAGACCAGCACTTAATCCACTGGGCCACACCAGCTAAGGCACAGAGGGTGTTAGTTTTCTTTCTGAAGTGCCATAGATACTCAGAGAAATCTTGGTCTCCAAGTGAAGAATAAAATTAGCCAAGGTTCAGTATAAGATACAGACCTTAAATATGTTCTATCAGGCAAGGACCTTGATGGGACTGAAAGAAAATAGGATTAACTAAAGTCGTTCAGGTGGCTGAAAGCAGGTAGTTCAGTACTCCTTTTATCTGGCAACATCCTCCAGATTAGTCAAGGTAAACTGTAACTCCTTGCCTGTATGCACAGAGGTAAACCCTCCAAGGGGAGCTCCTTTCTAGGGATTCTCTCTTCACCACAGTCACCCCTGCCCAACACACACACAGTGGTGTTGGGCTTAAGTAATTCAATGACTCAAAAAATAACTTGTCCCAAGGACACCAGGATAATTTTGAGTCTCCCTATGTAAGGGACTCTGATTATTGTTGGATTAGTCTGGGTGTCTGAACTCTGAAGAACAGCACTTTGAGGCCTCAAGAGTAGTCTGGAACAGAATGGATAAAGAAGTGGAGGTACACATAAACAACGGATATTACTCTGCCATAAAAAAGTATGAAATCTTGCCATTTGCAACAACATGGATAGATCTTAAGGGTATTATGCCAAGTGAAATAAGTCAGACAGAGAAAGACAAATACCATATATTTTCACTTACATGTGGAATCTGAAAAACAAAATAAATGAACAAATAAAACAGAAACAAACTATAGAGACAGAGAACAAACTGATGGCTGCCAAATGGGACTGGAGTTGGAAGACTGACTGAGAAAAATGAAGGGATTAAGACATATAAACTGCCAGTTATAAAAGCAGTCACGGGGATGTAAAATAGAGCATAGGGAATATAATCAATAATACTGTAATAACTATGTATGGTGTTTAATGGGTACTAGACTTATTGGAGTGATCACTTAGCAAGGTAGGTAAATATCTAATCACCATGCAGTCCACCTGGAACTAATATAATATTGTATGTCAACTGTAATTGAAAAAAAAAAAGAATAGTCTAGATCTATAATGGGGAAAGTCAGCTAAACCAACATGATGAAATGAAGAAGATTCATGCAGAATCAATCAGAAACTTGAGAGAGAAAACTTCACCACTGCATCTGGCTCCAGAGAAAGCAAAAGGAGCCTGGCATGCAGACCACAACTGGACAGAAAGCTAGCACTTGCTGGGGACTGTGGGGAAATGGAAAGTCCTCAGATGTTCCTCAGCATGCCCAGCAGTGTCATGGAGGAGCCACCTGATCCTGAGTTCAGGCACTGACAGCAGCATTACTGCAGATGTGCTGTGATTCAATGGTGCCTGCTCTTCAGGTGGCACAGAGTGCCGGAGGAAGAGGGGTTTCAGCTTACCCAGCCACACAGCAAATATGTTTGTGAGTATGTGAGGGTGTTCAAAGAGAGGCAGAATTAGGTGCAATCAAAATACACAGTACATTCGTCCTTACAGGAAAACCAAAAGTGTTTTAAGTAGCTAAAAAGGAAAAGAAGAAAAGAAGGTGTGTTTTGGGGTAGAGGGTGTGAGGGGGATTCCATCATTCTATGTCCTCACAGTTCTTCACTCCACACTCCTTTAAGCCGCCCATCATCCCACAGGCTCCTCATGATGACGATTACAAAAGCTTCTTCAGCTCCTCTAGCTCACACTCATGTCATCCCTTCATATTTATTTCTTATCTGTGTACAATGCTGCCAGCAGTTTTGAATTTGGATTCTCTGTGTGCAGATTTGGGATGCTGGTTTCTATAATCAGTATACTATTCCTAAAGCTTAGAGACAATTTTTGAAAGCTCAGACCAAGGGACAGGGATTACATTTATCATGCACACTATATACTCATATTTCAGCAGTTCAGACTGACCACAGGGCACATACCTTCTACTAACGTATTTGTAACAACACTCAGTATACTGTTTATCCTGTCCTTCCGCCCATAGGAGGCCAGCTGGTCCATGGAAACTAAGAGAGATCCAGGACCTTTCTTCTTAATTTCCACTTCAGTTGTAGCCTGGGGGAAAAAATAAAAGCAAATGGAGTGAGTAAAGTCTTATGAACATTAGGGCTGAGCCTTACCAGATCGACAGTCCAAACTGTGAGCAAGAATACGTGCTCTTCCTTCAACATTTTACCTCCATCCTACAAGCCTCCTGACCTCAGGAAGTAGCATGCAACAAGTTGGCCATGGGCCACCCTTAGTTCTACAGATGACAAGACCAAGTCGTTTCAGTTTGTACAAATCTACAGTGAACCCAAGAGTCTGGCTGGGACCCAAATACCTCATCTGTTTAATTCCAAACATTAGAGTAGAAAGACCAGCTCCCCTGGGGTGATGCCATCACAGGTAGACCCTGAATTTTCCTGTCCCAGTCTCAGAGCTACAGCATTTGACTAGAATTGGACCACATGACAAAATAAGTCAAATCTACCTCTATTTGGAAATTCATTAAGGGCCAAGTCCCCGGTCACACTGAGTGTCACACACACTGTCTGCTCACATGCAGGAACGCCGTCACTCTGCCAAGCTGCTGCTTCCGGATGCCACACCTGGGCCTAACTGAACGTTAGTGAGTTCTACCTGGAATGTCCTCCAAGACACTGTAAAGAGTCTGGTAAGTTTTAGCTGACTTAACTAAATATACTGCATCATATATGTTTATCTTGTCTTTTAAAATTTTATTTTTTGAGTTAAGTTGCAACATTCAAATTTCCAACCAAAGAAAAACAGCAGAAAATACCACAAGATTGTTACACAAGATATTTTTTACATGTTCCACAGCAGACAATACTGGGATGTTAGATCACAGCAGAGAGTTTCTTACTATCCCTTGCTTGTGTTTCTTTTCCTGTGCCAACCTGACTGTTCTATAAGCACATCAGGTTTAATGCAGTGGCTCAAAACCTAGCTTTCCAGTAACCACGCTGTCCACTTTAACTTGTTGTCCGTGTAAAGTTGGCTGACCCTTGCATGATCTCTGCCTCTTACCTCCATGGTGAAGGTAAGAGGCAGAGACAGTCCCCATCACTCATGTTTGTATAAAGCTAGAGGAGTATCTGTCTGATCCGTACCAGAATGATCCTACCAGTTTTAAAAAGAAAATAATTCTCTGGAGAGCAACATCAGAAAGCCTTTCTGTTTTTATATATGTTTAGGTTTTAAGAACCATACAAAGAAAGTTCCTGGCAGATTATAATTTATCTCCTCACAATGTTTCATCAAACTTTCATTGATTCAGCCACTTGTTTGTTTCACCTGTGGGTCAGTTTGTTTGGCAGAGCTGCAGAAGAAATGGAGAGAGGAAAGGATCACTCCCTTGGTAATTCCTGACTGCATTACTCTCTAAACATCTGAATGTAAAGAATGACTTATTAGCCATTACCTTAGGTCACAGAAGGTATATTTCTCTGAGAAACCACTTTTGGTTACAATTCCCAGCCTGATATTCATGACATTTCATAAATCAGATAAACTGCTACATTTAAAAAGTGACAATCATCTAAAAATGAACACTGAAAGGCCCCATTCAATGGACACTCATATTTCTATATGTAAAATGAAAGTAAACAGTAACAGGGGTATGTGGAGATAATTTCTATAACATTAAAATTTGTTCCATAACAAGATGTGTTATAGAATCTATCTTAAGTTTCAAAACAGAAATAAATGAAAGAATATACGAAAAAAATGAAAATTTCAAAGTCCATACTTAGAAAATGTTAGAAGGTAAGAAGAGAAATTCATTATGTTATCTTTTCATACAGGCAAGACATTTAGCATGGATCCAAATAACTGGTTCCATCAAAAAGATATCCAAAACAGATGCTTGTATATCTGTAAATTAAACAACAGACTTCTAAAAACTCACGGGTCAAAGATGAAATCACAAAGGAAATTAGAAAATACTCTGATGATAATGAAAACACAATACATCAAGATTCATGGGATGCAGCTAAAGGAATGGTTAGAAAAAATTTCAACCTAAAATGCTTATATTAGAAAATAAAAAAGATATAATCAATATAATGAATGCTCTAAGCTTCAACCTGAAGAAAACAAGATCAAATTAAATCCTAGGTAAGCAGATGAAAAGAAATAATAAAAATAGAAGTAGAGATTAATGAATTACTAAGTGGACAAACAGTACACAATCAAACCAGTCAAATGTTGTTTAAAAAAAAAAGGTTAATAAAATTGATAATTCCCCTAGTAAGATTGACCAAGAGAAACAAAAAAATACAAATTATAATTTTTCAGGAATAAAAACAGGGACATTACTATATGTCTTACAGACATTTTTAGAAGAAGAATATATTGTGAACAACTTCGTGTCATTTCATCTTGGATGAAAGGGACAAACTTATTGGAAAATGACTTATCAAAACTGATAGAAAAAGAAACAAAATTAAAACAGGTCATACTAGAGAAATCATCCTTAAAAAGCCTTACTTCAAAGAGAACTCTAGGCCCAGATGGCTTTACAAGTGAATGCCATCAAATACTGCAGAAGAAATAAAACCAATTTTACACAAATTCTTTCAGAAAACAGAGGATAAGGGAATGCTTCTCAATTTGTTTTATCAAGCTAATCCTGATACTAAGCCTGACAAAGACATTACAAGAAAATAAAACTAGAGGCCAATATCTGTCATGAACAGAGACGTCAAATTCTTAACCAATATGAGCAAATAGAATCCAAAAGTATATACAAAGGATAATACAGTTGACCAACAGGGTTCATGCCAGGAAAGCAAGGATAGTTTAACATCATGAAACAAGTCAATGTTGTTTATCATATTAAGAGAACAAAGGAAAAAAAACATATGATTATCTCACTGATGAAGAAAACGAACATTTAACAAAATTCAACACTTCTACATAATAAAATTTCTCAAAATGTTGCAGCTTTGATCTGATAAAGAATATCTATAAAACTGACAGCTAACATTAGACTTCTTTGTGAAACATTAAATCTTCTTCCACTAATACTGGAAACAAGAAAGGATGTCTGCTTTCATCACTTCTATTCAATTTTGTATCTGAAGTCCTAGCTAGTGCAATAAAGGAAGAAAATAAAGTCATAAAGAATGAGGTTGCTGCTATTTATAGAAAATATTATTGTGCATGTAGAAAGCCCCATGGAATCTATATTTTTAGAAACCCCAAATCTAATAGAACCAATGTTAATTTATCAAGGTCATGAGATACAAGTTCAATATATAAAAATCAATTTTATTTCTATATTCTAAGAACAAATACTTGAAAATAAAAATTATATTTTCACAATAGTATCAAAAATATACTTGAAAATAATACAAAATAATATTGAATGTAAACTGTAATTGAAAGATAAAAATTACAAAATTTTTTTAAATGCCAAGGAATAAATCTATGATGTGCAAACCCCCCACTACACAACTATACAACTTTGCCAAGGGAAACTTGAGAAGACTTAAATAAGTGAAGAAATATACCATATTCATAGATTGAAAGGCTCAATATAATTGATGCTCCATCTTCCCCAGGTGACCTATAAATTCGGTGCAATCAGTATCAAAATTCTAGCCTTTTTTGAAGAAACTGACAAGATGATTCTAAAATATATGAGGATATGCAAAAGATCCAGAATAGACAAAATCTTTTTAGAAAGGTCTAGAATAGCAAAATAGTTTCTTAGAAGATTATTTAATAATATTTCAAAATATTTTTTATTTGGAGGGCTCACACTATCTCATTTCAAGACTTAAAGAGTTACAATATTTAAAACAAATGTAGTGTTGGTATAGGAATAGACAAATAGATCAAAGGAATAGAACAGAATCCAGAAATAGACCTACATATATGTACATCAACTGGTTTTGATCAAAGTGTCAAGTCAATTCAACGGAAAAAGGAAAGTCTTTTTAACAAATGGTGCTAAAAAACTGGATATCCACCCAGGTCCACTCCTATCTAGTTTCATACACAAAAATTAATTTGAGTTGAATCAGGCACCTGATTGTAAAATCTAGAACTATAAAGCTTATAGAAGGAAAATATCTTTATAATCTCACAGATCAGCAAAGATTTCTCAAACAGATGCAAAAAAAATCATAAAAGGGGGAAAAACCTGACAATTGGACTTCATCAAAATTAAAAATTTATGTATATGATAAAGGGCTTATATCCACAGCATATAAAAAATTAACAGATCAATAATAAAAAGAACAACTCAGTTAAAATGGCAAAAGATTTGAATAAACAATGAACAAAAGAAGATACTAGAAGCCAATAGGCACATGAAAAAATGCTCATCATTAATCATCATGGAAATGCAAATTAAAAGCACAATAAGATCACATTTTATACCCACTAAAATGCTGAAATCAAAGACACCCCAAACATTGGCTTGGATATAGGGCAACTGGAACTCTAATACATGGTTAATGGGAGTATAAAAAATGGTGGAATTATTTTAGAGAGCTGTTCGGCAGTTTCTTATAAAGTTAAACATACATTTACAATATGGCCCAGAAATTCCACTGTGAGGTGAAATTTATCTGATATAAGTGAGAACATTTATCTACAAAGAATTGTACAAGAATGTTCCTGACAAGCTTATTCATGCTACTGAAAACTGGGAACAACTTAAATATCTATCAACAGGAAAATAAATTAAAAAACTGTGATATACTTATACACAATGAAATACCACTCATCGATAACAAGTGGACTACTGACACATAAAACAACATGGATGTATCTTCAAAACATCTTGTTGAGTAAAAGAAGCCAATAGAAAAATACTGAGTCCACAAGAATGAATGAAAACTAATCTAAGGAGACACAAGTCAGAAGTGGTTACCTGGAAGTGGGAGGGGAGGGATTAGAGAGGAGTATTGGGTACTTTCAGGGAGAATCTTGTGGTAAAGAGGGCTAGTGGCATAGTCCTCAGCTGGTCGGAGAGTTCCTTCTCTACCTTGGTTTTACCCACAACCTTGGTAGCTCTTGGGTGAGGGTTACCCAATGTACTA